TGTTTAAAACCAGTTTCATAATTGGTTATATATAGTCATAGTTTTATCTTTACTTTTTAAGGGATTTAAATCATCAAAGGTTTTGGCTTGGCTTGGGGTTTTGATTTTCTTTTTTATAAATATATATATATATTATATACACACATATAAGAAAAAACAATGAAAAAAGTTTACAATTAGTTTAAATTGACAATGAAATGTGAAGTTGGTCCTAGTTTACATCTTAGGGAGTGTATATGTATGTTTCACATGCCTAAATATCTGCAAGTTTTCTTACAGGTGAAGTGCTTTGTGAGATTGTTTAGACTGTAGATATGTGACAGAATCAACATATTTGCTGTTATTAACACAGAAGCTCACCATAGAAATCTAAAGTCAGTGCTCTGTACCCATCCACAACTAGTGTAACTGAAGGAGAAGTAATTGTGCTGAGTTAGACCTGTATTGTCAGTGACTTTTTCAGAACACGTGCTCAAATCTGAGTTGTTTAGTTTTGGAAGGTAAGTTCAAGAGTACTTTTGATCTGTTTATGATTCAGTTTATGCCTTCATGTTATGATTTGAAACTATATCTGTTACCTTGAAAACACTGAAGAAAGTACTGAAGTATGCATGGAGGTGGTTTATTTTAAATATAATACCTAGTCTAAGAAAGAGTGTAAATGGACACCAGCTTTGCCTTGCACATAATTGTGCCAAGGGTAGATTGCCTACATATGCAGATGCTGTGGATTCTTTATCTCCTTGTTACTGGTTGTGGTGTTTTGTTTGTTTGAGGGTTGGAATTCTCAACCAGAAATGATACTTTCTAAAATGTTTTGAAATTCAGCTTGTCCTTTGGATTATAGGAAAAGGAAATTATACTTTAAGAAAATGTTCACAAAAAAAAGACTATTACAGATCCCAAACACTTGGACTTGGTGACCTTGTCTTTCTTTCTTTTCTTTTTTTTTTTTTTTTTTGAGACATGGTCTCACTATGTGCTTTGGCTGGAGTGGAACTGTGTAGACCAGAGTAGCCCCAAACTCAGTCGGCCTGCCTCTTCCTCCCAAATGCTGAGATTAAAGTCGGGTGCTGTAACACTCAGCAGCCACAGCGCCCTGTCTTTCTAACATGGCCCTAGAATAAACATTTTGAGGCAGTGTACAATGTTCAGGTGACAGTATTTCACATGGTGGTCTGTTTTTTAAACCTGCTTTATTCTAATAGGATGTTTGTGTTGTGTGGATGCTTCCACTCTCCACTGAGAATGATTGTTAAGACAGTCTTTTCCTTTAAATCCAACGAATCAGTACTCATGTTTAACTGCCATGCTTAATAAATCATGAGAGTATATAATGGAAAGAAGTCCCTGGTACCTACTTTAAATACAGGAACCCTTGTAACTTAATGCCAATAGTCAACCACTGGATCTCAATTTTCATCGAGTATTTTAAAGAATTTTAAATTCTAAAAAAGTACTGACAGATTTTGCCAGTACTTTATTGCTAAACTGAATTAAATAAGTCTTTGATTCCTGGTTATTTGGACCATTGACTCATCATGGACTATGTAATGATCAGATTCTTTTCTTTTTAGGTATCCTTGAATTACACCAAAGAACCAGAAACTTAATTTTGGTTAAATTATTTATTTATTTCATGCATTCATATTATTTCCCTTTTTAAAGTTTTAGATGAGGCTCCCTGAGGAGCCTCTAAAAACCCTCCCCTGTCAGCAACCAGAGGCACTAGAAGCCAGAGCACTCCCTCCTGGCTCCTTCCCAGTGCACTGGTGCTGTAGGAACCAAGAGCCAGCCCAGGTTCCCTTAGGCAGTACAAATCCAGCACAGGGTGTCAACTGAGGCAGGCCCTGATGAAGTTTAAAAAACAATTAGTTAATTAATTAAAACCATTTAAGATACTATTTATTTTAGAATCATGCTTCTGGAGAATACAAGTTATTACTTAGAATATATCTTCAATAAAAGATATCTTCAAAAAAAGAAAAAGCCCTGACTTAATGCAGTACAAGTAAACAGTACACTTTCTCATGACTTAAGAAATGTAGAACTATGGCTTAAGAAATACTTGTTTTCAAAATGTAAGTTCCTATGAAGAATATTGTTTATATTGAGTTGGGCCTATAGGTTTAAAATGTCAGCCAACTGATTTCAAAGACCTTGGTTTTACTACACCTGCCTTCCCCTTCTGAACTGGGATGGGGGGAGGAATACTTGTGTAAAATCCTCCGATTGATGTCACAACTTTCAGCTTGAACGTTCGTTTCCAGACATGATTAAAAATTGGTTTATTCTGTTTTCTGTACTATATCATTATCTGAAGTTTAAGTGGTAACTGGTTCTATACCATGTATGTATCATATGTTTGTTCATCAAAGCTTTTTAATCCAAATAAAAACAAGAGTTTGCAAAGTGATTTGGATTAGCCAGGTTTGGTGGTTCTGTTAAAGCTGTGTCAAGTGTTTTGAGCAGAATGAAGAAGACTCGCACAAGCCCTGATTTCATGCTAAGGAGGAGAGGGCTGCCAGTTCAAGGAAGAATGCACCTCTCTCTGGTCAGGGTGGAATGCAGTGTGCAGTCAAAGAATTCTTACCATGTCCTCAGGATTGACAGCATGGACAGAACAAAACACAAGTTTCAAAAATGAAGACAGTAAGGGAAGTATATTCTATCAGAGAACAGAAGAACTCATTTGAAATAGCTTATTTGTGTGATCATAAAACAAGTGGTCCAGACACATCTTTAATATGTTTACAAGTTCTTAAAATGTGTTATACTTTTAGTAGAAAATGATGGTAAAATCGGCCTACTGTTTTTTCCTAATACCACTTTGCAAAGCCCTGTGATTCTGTCCTGAGACTGTAGGGAGGGACCTATGCCTGTGAGCAGTTGGAGGATTCCTGATCTCTAACATTCCACCCAGCACTACATAAACAAGTGCTAAGTGCCTTTGTGCTTTTTAATTTGAGAATATGCTGGGTCAGCTGACTGAATGTTCAGCACTGAATAAATTAACAGACTATTACTTTCCCCTATCTGGGTTGTTATGTGTTCATAAATGTGGCAAAACGTTTTGTTACTCCTTTACAAGGAGAAAAATTGCTTTGGAAAACTCCATGGTCCAAAGATTAACTTTTCTTGAGAGGAAACTCATGGTGAAAAGCTCAAACATGAAAAAGAGATTAATGTGGTTAAGGTAAAAATCATCAGACTTAAATAAGTCTTCCATTGCAAAACTGCATGATAGATAAAATAGATAAAAATAGCCCTCGTTACTTACTGCATGATAGATAAAACAGATAAAAATAGCCCTCGCTACTTACTGTATGCCTAATGCAGGCCCTTCCCCATCATTTCATATAAAAAAGTGAAGCTCCAAACCCCATGATTTTTTCTCTTCACAGTGGAAGTTTAAAGTGAATGCTAGTTTTTATCTATCTGGTCCAGTGACTCACACCTTTAACCCAGCTGCTTAGGGGGCTGAAGCAGGAAGATTGCAGATTCAGAATAATTCTGGATAATTTATAAGGCCCTTTGGGGGGAAAAAAAAGGCAAAGCAATGAACACACTTGTCTAGCATCCACAGAGCCCTAGGCTTAATTAGGGTGCTGCCTCAGTCACAGAGATATCCTCGAATATGGTAGGATATGGTGTAATTTTTAAAATTTTGAAAAACTGAACAATATTGTAGAAAGTTAAATTTTTACACCCTGGCTGGGTGGTGGTAGAACACACCTTTAATCTAAGCATTTGGGAGGCTCACAACTAACTACCTGTGACTCCTGCTCTCAGGGCTCTCTGGCCCCTTGTGCACACCTGTATGCATGTGCACATACCCTCACACACAATTTTTTTTCTTTTTTGTTTTTCGAGACAGGACTTCTCTGTAATAACGGCCCTGGCTGTCCTGGAACTCGTTTTGTAGACCAGACTGGCCTCAAACTCACAGAGATATGCTTGTCTTTGTCTCTGAGTGCTGGGACTAAAGGTGTGTGTCACCACCTCCCAGCTACACACACAATATTTTTGTTTTTCAAAACAAGGTTTCTCTGTGTAGCCTTGGCTGGCCTCAAAATCCACCTGCCTCTGCCTCCCAAGTGCTGATATTAAAGGGTGTGCCCTACCATGCTGCCCAGCTACACACACAATTTGCATCTTGGTTAACAAAGATGAGTTCTTACTCCCAGCCTTCAAGCTAATGTACTCTGAAAACATTTTACATTAAATATCAAAATCAGCTCCTGCCATTTTCAAAAGGGTTTTCTTTAATAAAACTGATGGGGAAGAGACAGGGAGGTGGGCAGGGAAGGAACTGCAGCAGACAGAAGCTGGCATTTACTGTTAACTCATTGAAGTTGACTACACTTCAACTTCTAAAACAAGGTGTAGCCACATGACTGAGACTCACACCACAACTTCTTACGCAGCAACTGAATCAATATGAAGTGTCTCTGGGCAATACATTTCTCTCCCTGGTACTACTGATCATTATTGGTGACCAACAGTTAATTAACTTTGTATTCATAGTACTTTGATGCAATCTGAACAGTTATGACTCTTTTTACACTGAATTGATCCTAACATTAGCAGACAAACTTAAAGTAGAAAAAAAAGTTGCTAGAAAAAATTGGGTCTTTCTGGTTCTATTTTTTTTCAAGTCAGGATTTCATGTAATCCAGCCTAGTCTCCTGTTTTCTTTACATGTGTATGGGTGTTGTGCCTGCATGTGTGTCTGTGTACCACGTGTTCAGTGTCCACAAATGCCAGAAGAGGGCGCTGGAGTTGCACATGGTTGTGAGCTTCCATGTGGTTGCTGGGAATTGAGCCCAGGTCCTCTGGAAGAGCAGTCAGTGCTCTTAGCTGCAGAACCATCTCTCCAGCCCCCTTGAAAAGTATAATTTTAACAGAGCTAAAAAGGCAGAGGCAGGGATTTCGTTGAGTTTAAGGCCAGCCTGGGCAAGAGTGAGACTATGAAAACATAAAATGGCTGAAATCAACACTGAAAATTTGTATTTACTTTATTAACTTATGAAGATCGGTCTCTGATGTATCTTCCAGCCTTCTCTGATACTGTCTTTCTGAAGCTTTTCTACGGTAGACGTCATCTGTATCAAACAAAAATTTTGCTTAGAATCTTTAAGAAACAGGAATTTTAAAAAGAGACTTGGCGGGGGGAGGGGGGTTGTCTTTCTCTGTGACAGAGTGCTTAGCTAGCAGAAGGAAAGCCCTGAGTGCAGTTTCCAGCACTGCACTAAAAATCAGCAAGGTTTAGAAACAGCCCCCATGGGTTGTTTTGTTTTGTCTAAGTCAACCAGTAGTCTGTCTTGACTGTCTGAATCTTAACACTGTTTAACTCAATAGCAAATAAACTATTCAAAATAAAATGAGCTGAATGAGTGCTATGATGAGGAGTCTGAGATTACAAAAGAGTAAAAATATCAGTGTCTTCAGAGACTGACTCACGTCCCAGAATCAAGTCCTGGCATCCCTCTGTTCTCAAAGACTTCCTTTGCCTCAGGGCTCTTACCTGCTCCCTTTCCTAGTTCCAAAACCAAAGTAAGGAGGGAAGTCCTGTTCCTTGTTCTCAGCAGCTGCCTTTTCAGACTACTAATTTTCTACCCTCATGTAAAAAGTAAACATCTTCCTTTTTTAGATTCTCTTCTTCCTGGGCTTATTTGCCCATTACTGGTAACTTCCTCTGTGCCTTTTGACCACCCATTTTCCAGGTGGTGAAGTGCCAGCCCTTGGCCTCCTTTACATCCACAGCCAGTGTTCCATGGAAGAAGTCTGCTCAGAGTTCTGCTCTTCTTGGAGCTCACCACCACCTTCTGCTGGCTCTTCAAACTCTCCTCCCTACCGGGACTCCTGGACAGCCCTTCAGAACCCCAACCAGAGATTGCGCCAACTGCCTCACTTTTCAATGCATGCTGCTTGAGACACCTCCAACTGATTCCATTAACGTGGCTGAAAGTCCTGAATGACTAAGAACACTCCCCTTCTTTCTCATTGAAAGGCCACTGTAGTGAACTCTCTGGCTGACTTTTAAGGCTGATCCTACTGGGCACTAGTACTCCTGAAGGTTGTAGTCTCCCAGCCCCCTCCTCATCCTCTCTCCCCCAACACACACTTTTCTTGAAGATTGGATCCAAAAGCCCCTGCATGCCAAAACAGGTGCTGTACCAAGTGAGCTACAGCCCCAGTTCCAGCCCCTACTTTCCTATCGGCGTCTGCATATCCTTCAGTCTCCTACACAGATGGTCACCCCTTTCATTGGCAATTCCTTATCACCCGTCTTCAAGGATCATCTTCCTGGTGTTCCTTCCAACCACTCCAAGTCACTTTAAAATGTTGAAGTCTGACCCTTCTTTCACAACTGAACTGAAAGGCCTGCAAATCCAGATGTCTGGCCCAATCAGTCCTCCTGAGCTTGAGCTATATAGTTAACACCATCTCATCATGTCCTAAATGGCACCCAGGATTGCCCTGCCTAGTGTCTGCACCTTTGCCTCGGCTGTTCCTTGAGAAGCCTCCATGCCCCATCTCAGTTACCAGACTCAGCATTACCTCTAGGCTGTCTCAGCTCCACTCACTTCTTGGGAATTACTCCTTCGTCCCTTAGACTAGGCCATCATCTCAAATCTGGCCAGCAGACATTGCCTGTGTTTCTACCAATCTCTCTGAAAAGAGCCCTTTCAATCATTAAGATAAATCCTTATTGTCCAGTTCTTTTACGGCCCTACCCAGGGACCCTCCTACCCACAGCTCCTTTCGCTCAGTCCTGCTGCAGTCCTTCAAACAGCACACACAAACGTTTCCAAGTTCCCTTTACCACTGCCATGAAGTCAGTGGTCCCCTCACCTGGCTGTCTGGCGGACAGTCCTAAATGCCTATCCTTTCCCAAGAGCCTTCCCACGCCTGATCCAATGAGGTGTTCAACCAGGATTCTTGAGCTACTAATACTTCTCATGGCATGCTTAGTGGTGGGAGACAGGTTGGAAACTGAGCTTGGGCCAACATGAGTCAAGTACTCTACCACCAAGCGACACCAAGTCTTATTCCCAGGAAGATCCTTTGCCTTGTTCACTAGAACCTGTCATGGATGGCAATTAAATACCGAGTGGTGGCTCATGCCTATGTTATCCCAGGACTTGGCTGAGGCAAGAGGAGGCTACAAGTTTAAAGATTCAAGGCCAGCACAGGCCCTTTATCAGAGTAGAAAGAGAATCAATGGAGGCTTTCACATAACAACTTAAGATTTTGAGTTGGCAATTCTCAAAAGATGGAAGTTACATGAGAGGCAAAACAAAGGGCCCAGAGGTTCGGAGAAGTCCTGACGGGAACTGGCAGTGCCAGAGGCAGTCCACAGACTTGTCAGACATTCTTTTCATAATTCTGGGACAAAGACACTAATGACTGCCTGTAAACGGTAGTAATCAGCTAAGTCAGGCAAGCTAGCGTCCTCCTCCAGAGTTTGGGCTAAAAATCTCAAAAGACTTAACCAAAATGTCTACGTCCTCAGGATTGGTCCCTCTTCCGCACGTGAGCACCCCTATTCCTTAAGGTCAATGTCACCAACAGCAGGGCCAAGGACAGGTTACGAAGGACGGCAGCATTGAGTGGAGGCCCGTGCCCTCTAAAAGTGCCGGAGGAGAAAGAGGGCTGGACGCCAAGGTGAGCGGAACACGTCCGTGCCGCACGAGAGCTGCCAGAACACTTGTCCTTTCCTAAAGTGAAAGTAGCACTGCCCTGAATGGAGTCAGCGGCCTGTAACCGCATACCCACAGGAGAATGGAGGCTGCTGCACCCCCACTTACAGAAGGTCTCCTGGCCCACGCGCACTTTAATCATGATCCACTCCATTGCTCCTCCCAGGACAAAAAAGAAGGGCAGGAACCTGTAGATGCCGAATCGCTGCTTCCCGGGCACCCGCTGCAGAGCTCGCCTCACCTGGGCCCTGAAGAACATGACCGAAGCGTCGGAAGTGGGGTACGGGCGGAACCAGGCGCACAGGCCTGCTTGTCGGGCCGTGTCCCACGGACTGAGAGCCAAGACCCCGCCGCGGCGCCACCGCCAGGCCGCGAGAGTCGGGTCGCAGAGGCTGACAGGCCCAGAGCATGGTCGGCTCCGCCAATCAGAGCGCGGCGGGACGCTCAGACTCTCCAATCAGAGTGCTGTTAGGGCACGCGTGCTCGGTGAGGCTGGGCGGGTCTGAAGGAGCCTACGCAGGCGCCTAGACTCTGGAGGCGGAGCAACTTCAGGGGGCGGGGTCTCCAACGTGGCGTGGCCACCCTCAAACCTGCTCTCAGCTGCTGGGGCTCGGAGCTGAGTGCCGCGCCCCCTACTCTGCCATCGCCATCTTTTTTTGCAATACTCTGACGGAGATGTCGACCCTCTGTGAAGAAGATAAAACTAAAATGCAGTTACGTGGCGCCTTCCTTTTATTTCTGGGATGTGACTGGTTGAACTTGACTTCTAAAATAACAAAATTCGATATGCATTTTTGAAAACTAAACTTTATCAGTATCACAACAAAAAGTATAATTGTCCATGACAAACTATTCTAAAATAATATGAATCTATGATGAATGGGAACTTACCGTTATCCAGGTACTTGTAGGTGCTTTTTTTTATGCATCATAACCTGATAGTTGCGGAAAAGCATCATGGTAAAAAGCGTGACTTTGTTGTCAAGCCATACCCTATAGGGACCTTTGTAAAACAGAACCTTTCTGTGAAGATGCGGGGATGGACAACCCAAGAGAATTAAATGACTGGGATCCAGGAAAGGGTCATAAGCAGACTGTGAGGAGCTTTATGGTCCTGTCCGGGCGTGCACACCGACGTGCAGTCGGGGAGAAACTGGAGGGCAGGCCAGAGAGAAGCCACACACACGGCGAACCCCTGGCGCTTGTCCCCATTTCTCTAGGTTCTAAGGACTGGAACATGTAGAGCGTCCATCCACTTTCAAGAGATTCACATGTGGCCAGGTCTCCACAGCCCACCTTGGTCACTGGGGCCTGCAAGGGCTCGGTCACCCAAGAGCCCTTTTGACATCCATAACTACCAGTACCCAGCCCAGGATTGTCACACCCGATCCTCAGCCTAGATAGAGTGGAAGTACAAACACACACATTACACACCTCGCCTCCTTAAACCAGCAGTCCCCGTGTGCTCAGTGGACAGCTCACCACCAAGGCCCTGGATACTGGACCAGCCTCTCCTGGGGTACACCTGCAGCCTAAGAAAACAGATGGAGCGCTTTCAAGCAGAAAAGAATTTCACTGAGACAGCAATTGAACAGTCTGCGGTATTTCAATTATGGGCCTGCACTGTCCGGCACATCCATTGACAGCCGCCAGAACCAGGTGGCTGCAATGATCCTGGCCCACAGCCTCTCAGGGTACGCCTAGGAGATAGGCTCCTAGCTGAATCCGTCACCGTGCCGGGTACCAGGCGATACAAAGAAAAAGCTACCTTAGCAGACGTCAGCTGCCCTGAAGGCTAAGTGATCTCACCCATTTCGGGATGATCACTGCAGGCAGAAAGGGCTCTCGGTGCGTTAGGCGAATAAAGCGGCCCTAGCTCCAGTCGGGCGTGCACGCCGACGTGCAGTCGGTCAGAAACTGGGCAGGGGCACAGGGCCATGGAGCAGGAGCACTGGAGAGGGGACGAAAGCGCCAGGGTCAGGGGGAACTCGAGGCTGAGAAGAGGGACAGAAAGACGGTGGGATGAAGGAGGAGCTGTGCACTCCGGCCGCTCCTGCTCCTCGGACCGTCCAGGGCCTCTCGGAGACTCTGGCTCTTAAGCCCAGCGACTTCCCGCGCAAGGGAAGAAGGTGCGGCCATCACCGAGATGATCTAAGGGGGGCGCAGAGCCCCTGGGCCGAGCAGGGGACAAGGAGAAGGGGGTCGGGAACCCGCCCCGCCCCGACCGGGACCTCCCGCCCCCCAGGCCGAGTGGTGCGCCCATTGGCCGAATGGACTCCAGCGCCTCGCCCATTGGTCGGCCGCCTTGAGAAGCACGCGGCCACGGTGGCGGGCGGGCAGTCGGAGGGCGGCGGACCGGCGGGGGTAGCGCTCAGGGGGCATGGCGGGTGCGGGACTGCGGGCGGCAGCTCGGCGCTGGCTGCTGTGCGGAGGCCACGGCGGACCGCGGGCCGCCTCGTCCTCACCCTCCTGCCCTGGCTGCGGCCCGCCGGGTCCCGGAGCCCACTGCCCCAGCACTCCGCGCTCGGCGCCCGCAGACAGCGCGGACCTCAGCGCGCACTTGTGGGCTCGTTACCAGGACATGCGAAGGCTGGTGCACGGTGGGTGACTCCGGGTGGGCAGTGCGCCGGAGGGCGTCAGCCGAGTGGCGCCCAACAGACGGCCGGGGCACCGTCCCCAACCTTCCCGGGAGCAGCTTACTGGAAGTGCCCGGTGGGGCTTGCCAGGGTCCCAAAACATGATGGCGTTTTGGGAAGGCTCAATCGGGTTGGTACGCGGTGCCTCTGCACAGCACCACGACTCCCGGGGCGCGCGGAGGTTTTATTTTCTGGGTGCAGGAGCTTGAAATGCCTGGAGCAGCCGCTGCGCACGCGTCCCTGGGTCTTGCTCCTGGGTCCAGTCTTTGGGCAGCGGCGGTGGAAACCTCAGACCCTTGTTCTCCGCTGGCTTTTAGTTACCAGTGTGTGGACAAAGACTGAGCGAGCGGTGCTCACCGACGGCCCGACGTAAGGCAACACCGGCCGGACATTGTAGGCACCTCTTAGCTTGCCTCTGGCTGTCTACAACACTCTAAACAGCTTGTTTAGAGTAAAGGCGTTGGAGGATCCGAAAAGTTACTGTAGCCCCCTGCAATCCCGGGATGTTGCTGTAGTCCCAGCCAGAGCTGTACAGGGCACTTCCCCTCCCCTAGCCTTTTCTCTCTCTCTGGAATGGGCTGATGAGGCAGGAGATCTGAGTGTGGAACATCTGTCCATTTGTCTGGGTGGGGTCTAGTGGGGCCCTGTCTCTGCCGCAGATAGATGTGGTATGGGCTGTGGCCCCTGTCGCTGCCCAGCAGGGTGGCCTCCGGCCTCCTCACACCCTCCCAAGACCCTCAGGCTGCTGTCCCAGGATTGTGGTGATGACTCCGAAAGAACAAGGACAAGCTGGGGTGGGGGTGGGGGGAGCTTCTAGAGGAAGCCCCAGAGGTGCTTTGGCTTGCATTGTCTGGTAAAACAGAGTGGCTCTGTCGGGAGATTCCAGCTGTGACTGGGCAGGGGTTTCCACTCCAGCTGTGTGGAGACCTGCAGGTTGGCCAGAGTTCATCTCTTGACAAGCCACAATCAGAATAGTTGAGACCTCTGAAGAATGGTTGCTTTTAAGGACTGGGAATATTGCAGGGTAAGCAGCTTTACAGAAGTCTTTGTTCTGCACCTAGAAAAATCCCTGAGTGTCTGAGAAGCCTGTGTGTCTTGGCGGTGTTAGGGAGGAGGGTCTACTTTCATAACCTCAGGGTCCTCCTGTGTCTTCGGATCCTTATGGACCCCCCCCCCCGCCCCCGAGTTCTTGTGTGCAGGGTCACCTACACTAACGTGCCAGGGTGAACTAACTTCTTGCTTCTGAACCCAGACCTCACCAGGCTAGGTTTTCTGACGGAGCCTGGACAAAACTGTCAAGGCTGGGGCTAGTAGCCCTTCAGAGAGCAGTGGAGGACCATTAGCCTACGCTTGTCCTCATATGATAGAAGGAAAAGGAGGCCGAAGCAGGTGGCGTGGTCTGAACCTGCCTCTCAACTTAGTTGTCTGGTGCTGGATCGATTGATTGGGGACCTTTGCCTCCCCAAGTTTGGTTCTCTGGACAGTGGAGATAGATGTGTGGTTACCTCACAAGACTGGAGCAGGGAATGAGATGATCCGTAAAACTCGCACGTGGTCTTAAACTGCTAGAGCCCTAAAACCTGACGAGAGGAGGTTGGGGCTAGCCAGTGATACTATAAGCACACCAGATGACCGCTGACTCATGGCATCCCCTCTCCTGGCCTACTCAGCACGACTGATAACCTATGGAAGGAAGTGGGCCTGTTTAACCACCCAGAGCTAGGATTCCCTTGGTCCAGAAATGAGATAAGTAACCTTAGGCCCCGTATGTTTCCCCATCCTACTGTTCCCAGGAAGGTTTAATCCCCCAGAAGACCCTGGAAAGTAGAGGCAAGGCATGGACCTAGTCAGAACTCTGCAAACTTGGGCCCACAGATACCATGCCTCTGCTTCCCACCCCAGTGGTTTTCTGGACACTAACGCAAGCCATAAGCAAAGTTGACATCCAGGAGTGTAGGGTTGTGGAAATTACTAGTTATGTTCTGCAGCAGAGACCTGGATGGGTTTCTCAGAAACTGTTCTTTAGGGGGAGGCCATCCGCTGTGTCTTAAGCATGCCCCAGTGAAGAGCTCTGTCCGCACTTGGGGATCTTCAGAACAGCTGCTCGCTGCTGGCTGTAGGCCACCAGAGGAACTAGCCACACCTGTTCCCACACCTAACTCCCTACACTTGACACTAAAGGAAATGGGGGTGGAGCCCTGTGTTCCAAAGGGGCCTCTGAGGCAACAGCTCAGCACGTAGACGAGGTGTCTGCCCCGCTCCTAGACGTGCTGTGGAGCCAGAGATTTTCGGCTGATGATCAGAATCAGTGTGGCTGATGACAGACTCCCTGGAGGTTTGGACTTTACCCCAGTCCTGCCTCTCTTCCCCTTCCCCTCCAACTCCGGGACTGACCAAGCGAGACCCAGCTTGCACACATCCTACATTTGATCCTGCATGTTGTGTGGGTACAGGCAAGAATGCTGCATGAAGTAGGCTGGTTCTGGTTTTATTCCCCTTTTTAAGAGAAGCAAGCCCAGGGGCTAAGATAACATTCTCAAATTCACAGGCATGAGAGGGAGGGAGGGCCCAATCTGCCTGTCCTATCATGTCCTTTTTCTCCGTACACCATGCCCACTTTCCAGATGGGGAAGACAAAGCGGGTGAGCCTAGGACCCCAGAACCTTCTTGACATAGTTCCAGGCTTGGCCTTCTTCTGTGACTCTTTTCAGAGGCTTGTGACTGTCACCAGAAGAGAGCAAGCTGGGTAGTGTCCCAAACCCCGACATCTTACATCCCGCCTGTGGTGATTAGCATGTTCTCTGGCTCTGGCCCGGGAATGTCATTATGTGGTCTGGCAGGCAGCTGAAATCCGATTAGAGGGACCTTGCTCCCCAGGGCTAGGGCAGGTGTTCCAAGTTGGCAGCCTTGGGGGATTCTCCACCCCTCTAATGTTCTTGGGCCCCAACCACATCTCTGGGCAAAGTGGAAAAGTAGCATTCATGGCCTTGGCCTCCAGTTAGGCCAAAATGGAGCCAGCCAGCATCTTGTGTGAGGAGTCCACAGTCCCTGCACCCTGCCCTTGACAGGTAACCCCAAGAAAGTGGAAGACAAGCCAGTGGACAGTGGAGCTCCTGGACAGGTTTTGAGTAGTGCTGCCAGGGTTCCCACACACTGGTGTCTGTGGGGCACCACAGATGACAGATTAACATAGAAAGGGAGGCTTGTAGCTATGACCAGGCCCCCGGAGGAGAGCAGACTGGGCCAAGATGTAATAATTCAGTATCTTGTGGGGCCCATGGGGCTGGGTACCCATAAAGTACTTGGGCCATTTGCCTTAGCTGTGACCATCATAATGGCACCGTCCTCTTGGATCTCCTTCCCTCCAGACCTTCTGCCCCCTGAGGTCTGTAGCCTCCTAAACCCAGCAGCCATCTACGCCAACAATGAGATCAGCCTAAGTGACGTTGAAGTCTACGGCTTTGACTACGACTACACACTGGCCCAGTATGCAGATGCGCTGCACCCCGAGATTTTCAGTGCTGCCCGGGACATCCTGATAGAGCACTACAAGGTGAGGCAGCCAAGCCCTAGAAGCCAGAGGGACCCAGGCTGAGTCTTGGGGTTCCCCTGGTATCCTGAGCTGAGGGCTGGCCCTGCTCCTGGCTTTTTGTCCAACAGTACCCTGAGGGAATTCGGAAGTATGACTATGACCCCAGCTTTGCCATCCGCGGTCTCCACTATGACATTCAGAAGGTGGGTGGCTAGACACTGTCCCTTCCTGACTAGATGTGCACAGGGCCGGCTTTTTCAGCCTCCTCTCCTTATCGGGCCACCCTGACCTCGGCTGTCGCTTCCCCCTTAGTAGCGTCCGTAGAGGTTTTGTTGTGGAGGGTTGGGAGGTACTGGGGAAGAAGCTGGCTCAGGTCCAAGGACAAAAAAACCTGCGTCCTCACCACTGGCCCTGCCCCGTGCATGCTTCCAGAGCCTTCTGATGAAGATTGATGCTTTTCATTATGTACAGCTGGGAACAGCCTACAGGTTAGTGTCAGGTCTACCTTCAATCTACCCTTGTTCCTATCCTGTACTGCTTCCTGGGCTCCGGCTGAGGGTATCTGTCCCCCCACTTACCCCCAACTCAGGGGTCTCCAGCCCGTGCCAGATGATGAAGTAATTGACTTATACGGTGGCACCCAGCACATCCCGCTATACCAGATGAGCGGCTTCTACGGCAAGGTACCCACACAGCCTGCCGGTGCCCCAAGGCAGATCCCTCCGTCTCTAGTACTTGGAACAGCGGCTAAGAGTTGACCTCCGTCCCCAGGGCCCTTCCATCAAGCAGTTCATGGACATCTTCTCCCTACCAGAGATGGCACTACTATCCTGTGTGGTGGACTACTTTCTGGGCCATGGCCTGGAGTTTGACCAAGTACACCTCTATAAGGATGTGACGGTGAGGAGGCAGGCCTTGTCCCTTAGGTGAGCCCGAGTCTGTTTGCCTTCCTCCCTGGCATGTCCTCACTGTCTCCTTGTTCCCCTTAGGATGCCATCCGGGATGTGCATGTGAAGGGCCTCATGTACCAGTGGATTGAGCAAGACATGGGTAAGGGTGGAGAGTCGCCCTTACCGTGGCCTGCCTGAGCAGAGGATCACAGGCCTGGCCCTCACAGGCCCACCTTCCATTTCAGAGAAGTACATCCTGAGAGGAGACGAGACGTTTGCAGTCCTGAGCCGCCTGGTGGCCCACGGGAAGCAGCTGTTCCTCATCACCAACAGTCCCTTCAGCTTTGTGTGAGTCCAGGCCCGCTGTGAAGGGTGTGTGTGGGTTGGAACAGGGGATGACACCGTACTGCTCCCGGACTATAGCCAGTGCCATCTCTACACAGGGACAAAGGCATGCGGCACATGGTAGGTCCTGACTGGCGACAGCTCTTCGATGTAGTCATTGTCCAGGCAGACAAGCCCAACTTTTTCACCGACCGGCGCAAGTATGAGCTTAGCAGGGACTTTGGGGTTATGGGAGGAGGTTACAGGCCCCACTCCAATGAGAAGACTTGGACACAAAACCCAACTGGCCCAGACTCAGTATTCTCTGTGCTTAGATGGAGATGACCCCTTGCTTGACAGTATGCCGCTTGAGTGGGGGGCTTTATAGGTCCAGGAAGAAAGGCGCCCAAGCTGTGGCTCTGTCACAGACGCAAGCCAGGCTCTTTACTCCTCACCCAGGCCTTTCCGGAAGCTTGATGAGAAAGGCTCCCTGCACTGGGACCGCATCACGCGGCTGGAAAAGGGCAAGATCTACCGGCAGGTAAGGACTCTTTGGGGAAGCAGTGCCTAATAGGTGGCCTTGGGCTATGCAGGGGAAGCCTTCTGGCCTTGATCGTGCTTGCACTGTGGACTAGAGTAAATGGCACCGGGACAGGGCTACTAGGAAACAAGCCTGGGTGACAGTGGAGGAGAGCTTGGCCTTTGGTCACACTGCTTGCTTTGGATTCTGTATCTACTCAGTAGCCTGGAGACCCTGGTCATCACCTCTAGGCCTTGCTATCCTTTAGAATATCCCGCTTGAGTCATGGTACAAAAGCCTTCGAATGCACACTCGACAGGCAAAACCAGCCTGGTTGAAGTCCTGAGGTGAGACTGGGGAGACAGCTTATGGATTAGGCACCCACTACCACCACACATGCACGTGTGCCCACACACAGAAACACATCCTGGTTTCCTGTGCGGTGACTCAGAGGAAAGGCCAGATTTGAGCTGACATCTTAGCTGAGATGGTCCTGGGGCCAGGAGAACGGCATTTCATTTAGATGCCTCAACTCAGCTGGCAGGCCCCTGCTCAGTATCCTGCCTGCCGCACACAGATCTCCAGTCCCCAACTCTTGTCTTACCGTCAGACTGCGGTGGCCCTCTTTGTGGGAAGGTGACTTGCTTTCTTGGCAGCTCTCAGGCCTAACATTGTATTAGAACCCTGTGTAGTTCTCAGGAGCCCTTCCCTGCATCTTTCCTTCATCTGCCCCTTGAGATTATTTTTATTTGTTTTGTTTTGTTTTTCGAGACAGGGTTTCTCTGTGTAGCTTTGGAGCCTGTCCTGGAACTCACTCTGTAGACTAGGCTGGCCTCCAACTCAGAGATCTGCCTGCCTCTGCCTCCCGAGTGCTGGGATTAAAGCCATGCGCCACCACCACCCGGCTTCCCCTTGAGATTCTTGATCTAGGGGACATGTCCTCCACTGCCCTTCGGATGCCACCCCCAGCTCCCATCTCTCTGTGGCTCACTGTTGTGAGTTGCTCTATGAACTGTGCTCTGCTGAGTGTTCACCTCTGGGCGCCCCTGTACTTCCCAACTCTGGCCACTCCACCCCCAGCCCTACCCCCGAAGCGTCCTCAGTCATGGTTGTCCCTTGGTGTTGTCATCTTTCCCTGGCCTTGGAGCAGAGAAGCACATGGCTTGCCAGTGCGCTCTGTAGGTGGTCCACAGGGCCCTGTGGGTGGAGACTGAGGAGGTTCACAAGAACTTCAGGGCTCTTTGCTCTAGGGCCTTGTGGTTTCTCACAAACAGGGATTAATGCCCTTATCTGGGTGGGTGAAAGGTCATTGGAAGAGGCTCTTGAGTGAGGGCCAATCCACCCCTACAAGAGATGTTCTGCTGCAAGCAGCCCTGCCCCCCTTTTCTCTTGGAAGGGAGAAGTAGTAAGGGCCATGGAGCAGGGAGGCCACGGGAAAGGGCAGCCCAGCATCCGGCTGGCTTTGGCTGCCTCGGGAGAGCCGGGAAGACTGGTGACAAAGCCAGGCAGGCTCCCACAGTCAAGGGAGCACAGCTGGCTCAGCAGTGTCCTCCACTCCCCAGGGAAACCTGTTTGACTTTCTTCGACTGACAGAATGGCGAGGGCCACGTGTGCTCTACTTCGGTGACCACCTCTACAGTGACCTGGCGGTGAGGGGTGGGGGGCTTTTTCCCCGGGGAAGGAGGGAGCCCTGCCAGCTGGTGCTGAGGTCTGCCTCCCATCCCTTCCACTAGGATCTCATGCTGCGGCATGGCTGGCGCACGGGAGCCATCATCCCTGAGCTGGAGCGCGAGATCCGCATCATCAACACCGAACAGTACATGCACTCGCTGACCTGGCAGCAGGCGCTCACTGGGCTGCTGGAACGCATGCAAGTAGGAACAACGGGAGGGCTTGGGGGCTGGTAAATTGGAGTTGGGGCTGCACCTCCTAAATCGTGTTTACCCCACTCCCCATATTGTGTTCCCCCAGACCTATCAGGATGCAGAGTCGCGACAGGTGCTGGCTACTTGGATGAAGGAGCGGCAAGAGCTGAGGTGAGCAGACCCGGGGCCACGACAGGGACCCTGCCCCAGCTTTTTCTCAGCACATTGATGTGTGCCCTGTTTCTCTCCCCAGATGCATCACCAAGGCCCTATTCAATGCGCAGTTTGGGAGCATCTTCCGCACCTTCCACAACCCCACCTACTTCTCCAGGCGCCTCGTGCGCTTCTCTGACCTCTACATGGCCTCTCTGAGCTGTCTGCTCAACTACCATGTGGACTTCACGTTTTACCCACGTCGAACACCCCTGCAGCACGAGGCGCCCCTCTGGATGGACCAGCTCTGCACTGGATGCATGAAGACACCTTTTCTCGGCGACATGGCCCACATCCGCTGAGGGCACTTTTATTGTCCTAGACAGACCATCCGTTCTTTTAGCCCCAGCCACCCTGACAAGCAATAAAAGTGCTCTCTGTCCTTCCAAGTGCCTCTGCTTCCATTCCAGACTGTCATTTGACCTTGAGGATCCTCTGGGTATCAGGGAAGTCCTCCTCCAGGAGCGAATCCTGCAGAGGGAGGCGGGGTGCAGCCAAGTAAGGCTAAGCCCAGGGCCTGTCCCCACCCCCCTCCAGCCACACTTCCCACCCCACACTCACATCAAAGGGCTCACAAAAGGCATCATTGCTGCCAAAGACAGGGTTGGGGACAGAAACCAGGGTTGGGCTGGTCCCTTCTTGCCATGGGGAGAAGTCATCATCAGCATTATCTTCTGCCTAGAAGAGGAGCTGTGACTGGTAAGGCCCCCACACATGACAGAAGGACCCTGTCCCCACAGCCCCAACCCCTCTTTACCTGGAAGGCAGAGAAGCCAAAGCCTGTGGGCTTGCCTCGGGCGCGCAGGTAGAGGGCTCCAGCTACCAGCCCCAGCAGTGTTCCAGAAGCTACCACGATCCCCATGCTTAGTGCCACAGGTTGAGGCTTGTGTCCCAGCACCGGCCTCTGTAAGCAAAAAAGGGCTGAGTGTCAAGGACCAGGCCAGAGATAGCCCCTCCCCCTTGAGGCTCTGTCTCCCACTTCTGCCCACTCACAGACTGCGGTGGCGGTGTGAGCAGGGGGCTGGCCAGAGAGTGAATGATACCATTGAAAGCCAAAATATCCCACACGAGAATGTGGCTGACCACAACTGTCCCCGGGGTCTGTGGAGAAACTGCAGTCAGGCCCCCTGGTAAGCAAGGTTGAGCCAGGAGGGTACTGGTAAGGCCAGACTCACCAGAGGGACCCTAGAACTGTTGTCAGGGCCTTCATCTCTTATGAAGAGGCTAAGTCCTGAGTGGGCAGGAAGCCATGTCCCCTGACTGGCATTAGCACTCAGAAAGGTGGCATTGGAAGCGTGGAGTTCTAGGTCTGAGCCACTCAGCGTCTATGAACAGAGTAAGATCTGTTGGGTTAGGCCCACCAGAGAGCGCAAGCTGTACCCAAGCCCCTCCTGTTACCATATTGTCCACAAAGCCTTCGTTGACAGGAACAAAGAGTGTCTTGAAGGAGTGCTCATCGTCCAAGAAGTCCAGAAAATCCAGACCTCGCTCGGTGGCGTTGGCATAGTCCAGCAACATCTAGGGTGGGGAGACGGGGTGTGGACAAGCTTTCTCTTTGGGGATCCCAACTGCCTACATTCCCACTTCTGAGGCTAGACCTCTGCACACCCCATAGAAGGTAGAGAAGTTGGCAGTGGTAGCCAGGACTTCGAGCAGCTTCCCATTGCATGTGCTGATCCCGTCACCCACGAAGCCGGCCCGACATTGGCAAGCCACATCTGCAGGGAGGGAAGGCATGTCAGCTTAGAGAGGAGTATTGGAGAAATCAAGGGTTGGGGGTAAGCAGAGGTGGGTAGAGTGGACGTACCTTGCACACGGTAGCAGTAGGCATCCCAGCGCTCCGAAAGGTTCTTGCGGACCCCGAGGCTGATTACACCTACACGATTATCGCCACAGTCTGCCGCTGGGAAGACGACAGGATGAGCAGCAGAGCCATTGGCCAACCAGCCCATGAAGCAGACATGAAAACCCAGCTGTAGGGGCAAGAGGAGATGCTGAGACCAGAGCCCAACTCAATGGGCTTCCATAGGCTTAGCTCCTACCCTTGAGCCCTGTGCACCTGCTGGGCAGCGGAGAGCTGGGGGAGCGAAGCAAGGGCTGCTCCCTGGTCCTCACAGGCTTCCCTGGCCTCTGAGAAGGTCAAGCCATAAGGGCCACTGGGGGCCTGGATGTGGAAGACACCAGCCTGTTTTTCTGCAGGAAGAAGGGAGGGTGTATGATTGACAGGACAGTAACCGGGGATACTACAGTGGGTTGGAGGTGGGTAAGGAAGCATACCCTGGAAATGCAGGTCAGTGCACAGAGCGTCTCTGTGGCAGGGAGCTGATTTGCTCATGCATCGGTCCACAGGTGGCTTAAGCTCCGCCAGACACTGCAGTCCGTCACCCACATAGCCTACATGGCATTCACAGCGCCGTGTGTTCTGTGGGCAGAGAGAGCAGTGGATGCTCACAGGGACTGGAGGAGTGGGCTGTGAGGCCTCTACACCCAGACTACTCAGCTCCCCGGGACCTGCTTACCGGACCAGTGTTGAGGCAGTCAGCATGCTCGCTGCAGCCTCCACGGTGGCCGTCCAGGCAGGGATTGCGAGCTCGGCAACTCCAGCCATCGCCCTCATAGTCAGGCAGACAGGAGCAAGTGACCATTGTCCCCACCTGGCTGCAGTTGGCATGCTCACTGCAGCCGCCATGCCCCTTCCGGCACAGATCTGCCACTGGAGGCAAGGAAGGAGTGGTTGAGCCGCATACCTAGGGTGGGTCCAGGACTTCTTACCAGCAACTCACAGCCTCCTGCTTACCTGTGCACACACGGCCGTCCCCTTCATAGCCCAGGCTGCACTCACAGCTGTTGCCCACACGGCACACGGCCTGGGTTGCACAGGGTGGGGTACATACGGGCTGCAACTCTGTCCCCAGGACCCATCCCATAAGATCACGTCAGTAGCTCCCCTCCTAGCCGCTGCCCCTCCCACCCACCATAGGGGCCTCCACCTGTGTGTGCAGCTAGGCGGCCAGTGTGTGCACAAATGCACAGCAGCCCAGGTTCAAGGGCTACTCACCCAGCTGCACTTCACAGCGTGGCCCAGTCCAGCCTTCATCACAGAAGCAGGAGCCAGAGCCCCCAAGGCCTTCATCACAACGTCCATGCGGGGTGCAGTGGCAAGCTGGGGAGAAGGACAAGTTGACACACAGGGCAAAGGAAGTGGGGCGAGAGCGAATGGGACAAGACAGAGATGACATACCTTGGCATTGGGGTCCAAAGGTACCTGGAGCACATAATTCACAGGCTGTCCCAGCAAAACCCGAGTGGCATTTACACTGCCCACTTCCGCTCATGCCATCCAGACACACTCCGTGATCACTGCAGGGGCTTTTGGGGCCACCAGGGCAAGCTAGGGAATAGCGTAGAGGAAGGGACCAGAGGCTCCCATGAGAACACCCACATACCTGCATCCCGGGATCTGCTGTCTGTTCTCCTACTGAGCGCCAGCCAAGGCTCTTCAAGGAGTGTCAGTTCACCCATGTCCTCACAGCCCTGAGACCCCCATCAGACCCCAGAGAATACCCAGAGCCTTCAGAACTCCGTGCCAGATTATGAATCTTCCGTACACCTACCCTCACGCAGTTGAAGCATTCCCCTACCCTAGAGCACCCCAAAATCCTTTCTTAAAGGGCAATAGCCAGAGCTTTGATTCTGGCCATCTTGGAGGCTAGAGGAGCTGGTCAGCTTGTCTGCTGCTCTCAGAATGCTTACCTTGGCAGTCAATGCCATAGTGACCAGGGCAGCAGCTGGGCTTCCAGATGACTGTGACACAGTTTCGGTGGCAGCCCCTACCCAGTCGATGGTGGTTCCAAAAACTAGGCTGTATCCAGGCTCCACCACGCATTGTCAGGGAGTGTAGCGGGGTTGCCCAGAACTTGGAGTAATCACGCCAGCAGGACTTGGGGCTGCCCTGGGTCAAAAGGAGTCAGGCCACAGCCAGCCTGTGCTTGATGGTGCTCGGCCCCTCCCCTCAACCCTCCTCTCAGCCTCTAGGCCCTTACCTGCTCCTGTGAGCCCCGAGGACAGGGTGGCTCCAGCCCACAGACGCTGCAAGTCTTCTGGAGGGGATGGAGGTCAACACTGCAGGGTCAGGTGGGTGCACAGGACAGGACAGGTAGGCTGGGCCCCTGCCGTGCACCTGTGGCCCGTGGCCTTCCTCACCATTTGAAGTGTCTGGGTCTCAAAACGATCACAGCGGGCACCAAGGCCGGGTGGCTCCAGCAGCTGATCAATGCCATAAGCCACGCCCCCTTCAAAGAGCAAGTGTCTTTGCACAATGCGGGTGTTGTCTTCACCTACCAGGAGCTCACCCTAAAGGGGAAGATGTAGGGATCATGGGCACTGCAGCCCCTCACTGCCCTGCCCCTGTTGTCCTTAACCAAGCTCTCTCCCCAGACTCACAGGCCGAGCATGACTGCAGGAGAAAGAGATAGTGTTTCCATACATGGTTCGGAGTTGGCCCAGGTTGGGTAGGTCAGATGCCAAGGCCTAAAAAAATGAAGACATGATTGGAGTTGGGCATGCAGGCAGTAGGGACCAAAGATCGGGTCTGTGCCCACCTCAATATTGCGGATCACGTGACCCCGAAGAATGGCTGCCAGTTTGTCACGGTGGTCCTCATGGTAGAGCCAGTTCTGCCGGTCAGGAGGCAGGGCTTGCAGGGCGGAATCTGTGGGCCACAGCATAGTGAAGGGACGATGAGTTGCATCCTGAAGCATGGGCAGAAGACCAGCCACCTGTGGGGGCGGAGCAAAGGTGTGACACTTAGAGATGAGGCTGGACCCCAGAAGCCAGAAAGAAGATGCAGAGAAACCTGGCCCAGATAATTAGCCATGCTTATCTGCAGTCCTGGGTGGACGATCATCCCCTCATCTGCAGGGAATTGGTCCCAAAGCCCCAGCAGATGCCTTAAATTACAGTGACCCATACATATGAACTATGTATTTATGAACTATATATATATATATATATATATATATATATATATATATATATATATATACTGCTTTCTTCTACCTGTGATAAAGGGTTATTTATAAACTAGTTACAATAAGGGATGAAAAATAGCCAGGAGGTGGTGGTGCACGCCTTTAATCTCAACACTCAGAAGGCAGAGGCAGGCAGATCTCTGAGTTCAAGGCCAGCCTGGTCTAGGACAGCCAGGACTACACAGAGAAACCCTGTCTTGAGAGGAGAGAGAGGTACAATAAAATTGAAACAATACACCATAATAAAAGTTATTTAAAATGTGAGATATTTCTAGGGCTTTTCAATTTAATATTTTTATTATACTTAACCTGGTTCGTTTTTGTTTTGGGGTATGTGGGTGTGTGTGTGTGTGCGTGTGACATGGGAGAGGGGGCATGCTCGCAACTGCACACATGGAGACCCTACAGGAGTCAGTTTTCTCCTGCTGCATGGGTCTCAGGGTTGTCAGGTGTGGTAGCAAGTACTCTCACCCACTGAGCCATCTTGCCAACATTGTTGACTATGAATTGAAATTGTAGGTAGGGGAACACTTGCAGGGAAAAGTCTCCACACACCTTGGCTGCATTTCCTCACGTGTATCCACACCGAGAGGCTCTTACATGGTACAAGGAAATTCCCATAGGCGCATTCGTTCCCAGAAAGAGGAAAGCATGCATACTGTTACACGCATGCGCACACACTGGCAGGCCCGCATTCATGAGAGCAGTACCGTCACTAGGCGGCTGAAGATCTTGTAACCAAAGCTTTCAGTAGCGGCGGTGATATTTCTCTGGGAAAGAGCATGCATGGGTCACATGGTCAGGCAGGAAGAGAGGATCCCAGCCCGCCACCCAGTCCCAGGCTCTTGCCCAGCCATACCCGAGGGACGGGGACAGTGTCAGCCTCCCAGTGTAGCACATCCGGTGGCAGCAGAACACGGTCAATGAAGTGCAGGACGCCATTCACGGCCTCATAGTCACGGCTTACCACCCGAGCAAAGTCATTGAGATAAATGCTGCCCTGTGGGAGGACCGTGGTTGCATGGGGCAAAGCTGAGGTTGGAAGTGAAGCTACGGGGTGTGCCTAGGCCAGAGCAGGGCTTGAGGTGGGGAGAGTTTTTTTGGTAGACAGTGCTGGGCTTTGGACTGAGGTAGAAGATGAGTCAGGAAAGGGCAGAATCACTATGAGAAGCTTGTACAAGGAACCACACTAGGCCTGGTATTGTGGGAGCATGATGCTGGTATCAGCTTGACTTGGGAATCCGGACTTGGGGCAGGCCAGTGCTGACGGAGAGGGCCCTGGGTGTGGGTATTCTCTGGGCCGGACTCTACTCCCTCCTATTTGGATCCAGGCTGAGTAGTAAAGGGATGGAGGCAGGGGCACAGGGACAGTTTGAAGGGGGCTGAGCTGGGGGTTGAATCCTGCAGGAAGACTCTATAGCCAGTAGGACCAACAGTGTGAGAGCTCACCTCCTTCTCACTGAAACGCAGCGTGTGCCCAGACAGTGCAGTGGCATATTCCTGGTCCAGCAGGTCTTGGCTCCCCAGCTGCCGGCAGCCAACCACGTGGTAGCGAAACACCAGCTGGCGATGGGCACGGATCCTAGCCAGCTCGTCCTAGCATAGAGTCAGGAAGATAGTGGGAGCCAATGACTGTCACTTCTGCCCATGCCATGACCAGAGCACTCATCTCTCTCCCGACTTCTCCCAGGGCTGTATACCTGGGACATGTTGCTCACTAAATCAGCATGGGGCACAAAGATGGTGAAAGGCCCATCACCCTTGAGCTCCTTGTATTCCTGGGGAGGCAGGACACGACGTGAGTGGAAGGGGAACAATCTGGGACCAACTTGGAACGTCTAATGATCTGGGAAAAACTGAAATTCTGAAGAGTCCACGCCAGCCAACTCCGCCCACCCCCCCAGCCAATCAGATGGGAGCACAGAGGTCCAGAGCAGGTTGGCATCTGCCCAGCAGGCCTCAAAGGCCTAGGCTGGCTACTCACCATGAGGTTGAGGCTGAAGAATGAGGCATGCTTGTTCCGTAGGAGCTCCTGGGGGAGCAAGGATCAGTTCAGATTTTGGGTGCTCCCCCCAAGGTCTGGCCAAGGCAGAGATGAGGAAAGGAAAGCCAGGGAGGGTTCTGATCTGGGGCCAGGATTGTTTGCATGTGATGCAGATGAGGTTTAGCCCAGGAAGAATTAGGGGTCAGATTCAGGGTCATGGGATCATAGTCAAGGATCAGAATTGAATCTGGGATCTTAGCCTAGATTGGAGTTCAGGTTTGTGTCGGGCATAGCCACAGTCAAGCCTGGGTCAGACTTGGGCATCATTACCAGTCCAACTCGTCCATGGCAGGTGATCCCATCTCCCACGGTATGACTTGGGTTGCAGGTACACGTCCTCTGCCCATCCCCCGTGCTTCTGCACACAGCATAAGGGCTGCAGCCACCATTGTTCTGGGTAGAAGAGGAAGGCTGTGGTGGCATCCTGCCACCTCTGAAAGACCAGACTTAGGAAGGATGCCTCAAAGTCCCTGGTTGCCCCTCACAGTTTTATTTCTGCTGTTGAATCCGACTAGAGCTAGGGGTTGGGAGGTCCTGGGGCCATCCTAAGGGTGAGGAGAGCTGTGTCTGGTCTCAGTGCCCTTCTCTCGACAAATGCGCTAGGATATAAGGTTCTAACCTGGGAGCAGGGGTCCAGAAGCTTGCAAGTCTGGATGCCATCACCACTGTAGCCCTCACGGCAGCTGCAAGAGACCTGTCGCAAATCCTGATCATTGTGGCTGCATGGGGCCCTGAATGGCAGGGCCACCCCAGACCTAGTAGTCTGAACAGAGGCCTCGGTGTTAAGCCTGTCAACTGACCTGCTGGGGGCCCGTGGGGATGCAATCAGCGTGAACGTGGCAGCCCCCATGGCGGATGAGACAGCTGTTTATCTCTAGGGGAAGAAACGCCGAGATGAGGAACAGCCCTGATGACCCCCCCGCCCATCTGCATGGCCTGCCTTCACATGCGTCTATCTTGGGGCACCTCACCCTGGCACAGCTCTCCGTCGCCTGTGTAGCCCTCCTGGCAGGTACACGTCCGCTGCCCGGGAGCCACCTTGGTGCAGTTGGCGTAGGGCGAGCAGCCCCCATGGCCAGCAGCACATGGGTCCACCTCTAGGGACAGAGGTTGTGAGACACAGACAGGAGATACGGAAAAGGTTAGAGAGACTGTGGGACGCCCACCCCAAGCATTCCAGAGTGGGATGCAGGGCATCCGGATGGCCAACCTGAGCAATAACTGCCGTTGCCTGAGTATCCTGCAGCACAGATACAGGTGGGGATTCCAGTGACGTCCTGTATGCAGCTGGGAGGGATGGCAGCCACTTAGCCTGTCTGCCCTGTCCTGCCCACAGTCACCCCACCACAGGCTGGGCTCACTCACTTGGCATTGGGATCACACTTCTTGGGACACTGAAGGTTGATGATTTCTGGGAGTAGACAGAAGGTTCTGGTCATTCGGAGCAAAATTGTTCCCCTGTTGTCACTTGACCCTAACCTCCTGGGACCTACTTTGATCACAGCGGAGACCCTGCCAACCAACATTACACACACAGCTTCCGTTCCCTCGCAGCCCCTCCTGGCACAGCCCGTGGTCACAGTCACATACTGGAAGTGGGACAACAAAGGACAGGAGTTACTTTCCTGCTCTTTACGGTGTAGTACCCAGTCTGCTCCCCTTCCCAAGGGCCCCCACCCTACTCTCTGCAGACCTCACCTCCGGAACAGGTGGGTCCATAGCGGCCCAGCTCACACATCTCACAGGCTGTTCCGTGGAAGCCCTCTTGGCAGCGGCATTCCCCGCTGCCCAGGAGCCTGTCTTGGCACTGCCCATGGCCTGAGCACACTCCACCTAGACCCCCTGGGCATGGTTCACACAGTGTGCCAAAGAAGCCTGGGCAGCAGTCGGGCACCTGTAGGGGCAGGGGAATGGGAAGGGGAGGAGAGAGGCCCAGGGTAGGCCGGGATGGATGTCATTAGCCAGGAAGAGATGGTTACATCTCAGAGTCACCAAACAGAGCAACTTGGAAGCACAGACCCAGGGAGGGCAGACCAAAACCCTCAGGGGATGCGGGGGCTGCCCTCCACAACCCTCCCCTGGTGGGGGTAGACTCAAACAAGGGAGAGTGGCAACTCCATGGGCTGCACAGGAGAAACAAGAAAGCCTCAGTACTGCGCTGGCTGATGGTGCCAGCTCTGGGATTCAACTCTGTATCTCTCATGTCCATTCTCCAGGGGTTAAACACAGGAATAACAGTAGCTCTCTGATTTTGGACAGTCCTAAGACCCTTGCTTTGCTGTCTTTTTTAAAAATGTATTTATTATATATGCAGTGTTCTGTCTGCATACATGTCTGTATGTATGTATGCATACATGCCTGCAGGCCAGAAGAAGGCACCAGATCTCATTGCAGATGGTTATGAGCTATCATGTGGTTGCTGGGACTTGAACTCAGGACCTCTGAAAGAGCAATCAGTGCTCTTAACCTCTGAGCCATCTCTCCAGCTGCAGCTTTGCTGTCTTTGCTGGAGAGCTGCAGCTTTGCTGTCTTTGCTGGAGACTCAGCATCTCTGTCCTTGAAATTCAGTCTGAACTCTTCCCTGGGCCTACTCCGCTCTCCTTCCTAGGCAAAGTGGCAAAGCCTTAGCAGGGGACACGTCAGAGCAAACCTGGATCTTCTTGGCACATGTGTAGGAACAGCCCCGGGAGAAAGAAAAGCCAGATCTGTAGACACAGCTCTTCCTAGGTGTGTCCTAGAATTGGAGACACACAGGAAGGGTCACCTGCCGGCTTGGGAAGAGACAGGGTTGTTCGAGAGAGATAAACAACTATGCTGGACAAGCATAAGGGTAGTAGAAGGGAGAGGTAGAGGCCAAGACAGACGGGCCTGATGAGGGGACGGCAGAGGGATCAGGACTAGGGCAACAATGAAGCTCCCCTGAGCAGACCAGGGCTGTGGTTCAGTCTTAACCGGGAGTTAAGTTCCCAGCAGGACTGAACCTGGGACTTTAGTGGGGACATGGAAGTAAGTACGGGGTTGTACTGAGCCCAGCATCACCTGCAGCTGGAAGCCTTGAGTGCAGCGGAATTTCCGGGTACAGTTTATGCATTTCTCCTGGAGAAGAAGGGGAAGGTATCAGTTGGTCCAGGATAGACTAGCCAAGTGTTCCTGCTACTCAGACCAAGCAGCATGCTTGTGGGTTTCACTTTTGTTTTTGAAACAGGGTCTTACTATGTAGCCCTGACTGGCCTGATGTTTAAGAAGGGATCTGCCTGCCTCAGCTTCTAGAGTTCTGGGATTAAAGGTGTATGTCACCACTCCCAGCTGCAGATCTTTTTTTTAAAATTTATTTATGTATATTTTATGTATAACTGTTCTGCAGGCCAGAAGAGGGCATCAGATCCTATTATAGATGGTTGTGAGCCACCATGTGGCTGCTGGGAATTGAACTCAGGACCTCTAGAAGAGCAGCCAGTGTTCTTAACTGCTGAGCCACCTCTCCAGCCCCTGCAGCTGCTGATATTTAACATCCCTCTGGCGCCAGCTTCTTACCCGAAGAGCTTCTGCGTGGCTGTGTAGGCAGCGGCTGGACCCCACTGTCAAGATCCCTGCCAAACCAAAGAGGGAGCAGCCAGGAGCCTCCAGAAAGGGCCCCTCCAGTGGCATGTGGTTCACCTCGGGCTGCAACGGAAGACAGCAGGTTGGATCTGCCTACCCACTCCCACTAGCCTCCCTCTTAGAAACAAGATAAGAACATACTCCAGGACTGGGGATAGCTCCAAGAATGGAAGGGAAGTCTTTCTAGACCAGAGGCTAGGGTCTCCTTGGTGGGAAAGCTTCAAAGGCAGGTCCTAAGACTCTTCCTGGGGGAAGAGTCTCCTAATCCCTGCCCTTCAAACCTGGCCGCTGTGATTGTAGAAGACCAGCCAGTGGGCAGGGCCCAGAAGCGAATTCCGGTGTCCTCCTTTCCGAAGGACCTCCACAGAGAGTGCCTCCCCAAGGATCACGTGATGCCGGACTATGTCTATGTCCTGCCAGGGAGGAGTCACTTCAGGGTTTCCAAGACTCTCAAGGGTCCTGAGCATCATGCCATCATCATGCCCCTGCATCTTGGCAAAGGGGGCTCATCCTGCCCATCCCCAAGGCCTCACCAGGATACTGCTGTTGCCCTGGGTCTCCAGAGAGTGATTTGTGGGCACAAAGATGGTGTAGGCTTTAGCAGCCTCAATTTGGGCCACCAGTTTGTGATGCTAGGAATAGAGACAGGGAGCAAGGATGAGTACGGCAGCCCTCAGTCCTGATGCGGGGAGCCAGCCAGACCCCTGCAGCCTCCTGGGAACTCACTCCCCTTGAATGAACCCCCTTTACCTTCAGCTGCTCCCTGAAGAGGTGGAAGGCAGGCACCCTATCTAGCTGCTGCAGCAACCCTGGCCCAGTCTGCACATCACCTCTTGGAGGTAACAAGACCTGGTATAGAGCAGGAGGGGCTGTCAGTCCGTCATTACTGGCCCAGGAGGTTCCCCACGCTCCCTTCACCTGCCATACCTGGCTGATAATGTGTAGGATGCCATTGGTAGCAAGGAGGTCAGGTACGTCCACACTGACATTCTGCACCCAGACTTTCTGGAAGGTAGCAGACAGAGCTCACTCTAGTTGGTCACTGATACATGGTGTAAGAGACACCCCACCAGACTCTACCAGGCCTCAGGTTCTACCAGGTAGGTGCATAGACCATCATTAGTACCCACATAAAGAGGGGCAGGGTTACATTCGCTGGCACACACCACTTCTAATGAGACAACTACGTGTGTAGTCTCTGAATCAGCCCTGGGCAACCCCAAGCTTTGTTTCCTGGGAGCCCAAGTATTGGGAGAAAGCCACTGTGGGACATGTCCAGCGTTCAGCTCTTACCCCGCTGATGTTGTGTATCTGCCAATGTGTCGTGGGGCTCAGTGTGGCTACTTGTTGTCCACTTAACCGGGCCAACTCCTCCTCTGAGAAGGCACCCTGGAGAAAATGGGCCCTATGGGGAACAGTTGGGGGCACTGAACCTTAAGCCTGGGCTCTCCCCACTTTTGTAGATACATGGTAAACAAAGAACTGGATCCTCTCCATCCTGTCTGGGAAGGGTCCAAGATCTCACCCGGAATCCCTTCCATGGCCCAGGCCCTTCCCAGCTGTCCCACCTGACTAATTCTGGCAGCATCTTTGGCTGCAGCCAGAAGGCCTGGTCCTCACGGCTCAGCCTACGGATGGCAGCTTCAGAAGGTACCAGGGCGGTGACTCTGCTGCCAGCAGGAAGAGTGACACTTGAATTCTGCACACAGTGAGTGGGAACAGGGAGATGAAGGTGACTCTTGGGAGTTCTAGGTAGCATTCCTGAATCCACGAAGGCCTTAGAGACATGAGCCCAACCCTGTCTCTACCTTGAACCACTGGGAGAAGGCAGAGAAGTGAGCATTTGCCTCCAGTTCCTAAGGGGCAGGGGGAAAAAAAAGCTGAGGCCATAGACCCAAGAACAAATTCAAGTCCCCAATCATCCCCTTCTCCATGGGGACATGGGAGGATGGCACAGACATAGGGAGAGAACAAATCTGTGCACCACGTACCTGGAAGATGTCTCCATAGCAACTGAAGCCATCACCACCAAAATGAGGGGGGCATGTACAAACCCGCTGACCTCCCCCAACTGCCTGGCAAGTAGCCTGGTAGAGTGAGGAACAGACAGTTAGTGGCCTCCATCCATCCATCCATCATCCAAACACCAAGCTGGATACCATCTACTCTCATCTTTTTCTCCTTCCGTTATCACCTATTCCCCACCCTTTACCTGTGCCGCCACTAAATTCTTCAGCTATCCTGCCTGTGTTCAAAAAGCCCTTTCAGTAGCCCTGCTCCAGTACCACAGAGCCCTCGATGTGGGATCATCCCACCAGTAGAGACTTGGGGAGCCAGTGCTATACGGCCACAAAGGTAACCCTGACCTCAGGAGCCTGAGTTTTTGAAAGCAGGAGGGGCAAGGCCTGAGGAGTGTCTGGGAAAGGCAGATACTGTGGGGTATGAAAGTCAAGGGACAGCAAGGAATTAGGCGGGGCCAGAGGAACAAGGAACGGGGTAGCATGGGGCAGTGAGAGGGGCTGGGCAGGTTGAGAGGCTCTAGGAGGGTCCAAGGCCTTAATAACACAGCACAAGGGCTTTGTCCTGTGATAGAATGAGGGAGTGATGGCAGGGTTTGGAGTTTAGGGAGATACAAGTGCTAAAGACAAACATGCCCCGCTGCAACGGCCCTCCCCAGAGAGCCTCCCCAGGGCCTCAAAGCCCTTGTCCCCTCTTACCAGGCCATGGCAGCCACCGTTGCCCACCCTGCAGGGGTCGATGGGGCTGCACTGGTAGCCGTCTCCAGCAAAGCCCAGCTTGCATGTGCATCGACTCTGGGGAGAAAGTAACAGAATTTTATCCCACACCACAGGCCCCATCTCCTCCTCTGATCCCAAGGAGATGGGCCCACACCCCAGGCAAGCTCTTGTTGTCTTGTCCTTGCAGATCTGTGCTCTGGAACCCCAAGGAGAAATCAGCTCTCGGGGTTAAGACTGATCAGAGATGGTACTGGCTGGATGCTTCTGTGCAGACTCAGCACCACCCTAGACTCAGAACCCCCGTCAAGGTCATTGGCCTGAGGTCAGTGTCTTCTGGCAAGTGGGCAGGGATTGGCCAAGACCAGCCCCTGGAAGGGCACTGGGACCCCACCTCCTTTCCTGTCACCCAGTCAACTGTTCTGGTCTCTTCCCCTAATGGACAGGCCTTTGGGCTTGTCTATACTGCAAGTAAGCACAAGTGAGACCCTCTTCTCTGATAGCAACTGTTGTGTGTGTGTGGGGGGCATCTATATCTAAGCATTCAAAACCCCAGTTCTGAGTTTTCTTTATCTTTCTTTCCTTTCTTCCTTTCACAGGGTCTGGCTATGTAATCCAGCCTGGTCTTGAATGTGAGATCCCCTGCTTCTGCCTCCTGAGTGCTCCCAAGCTCCTATGGAGTTCTAAGTTTTAAGGCTCTGGATGGGGTTCAGGGCTTTACCCCTTATTCCAGCCTGATTTTTGTATTGACAATACTCTACAGACTGCTGACTCGGAGGCCACCACAGAATTGAAAGAACAGGGCCGTGAAGGGGCTGACTCTGAGCCAGCCAACCTAACCTCCCTGCTAGTGCAGTAGATATTCTTTAAAAACTATTTATGTATGTAAAATTATTTTACATGCGCATGGATATTTTGCCTACATGTATGTGTACACCATATGCCTGTCTGGTACCTGTGGAGGCCCGGAAAGGGCACTGAATCCCCGGTGACCAGAGTTACAGACAATTGTGAACTGCCATGTGAGTGCTGGGAATCACCTGGGTTCTTAGTAAGAGCAGCCAGAACTCTTAAGCACTGAGCCTTCTTTTCAGCCCTGATTTATTTATGCTTAATTTTTATATATGGGAGTTTTGCCTGCATTGTGTCTGTGCACCGCACGCATGTAGTGCCTGAAGAGGCCAGATGAAGGCATCAGATCCTCTGGAACTGGAGCTACACAGTTGTTAGCTGCCCTACGGATGCGAGGAACCTAACCCAGTTAAGCCACAGTGCTCTTAACCACGGAGCCAGCTCTCTGCCCCCACCTTAGATATTCTTTTGTTTTATTTTGAAACAGGGTCTGTTATGTGTCTCTGACTGTTCTGAGATTCTCTCTGCACACCAAGCTGGCCTCAAACTCACAAAGGTCTGCTTCCCTCTGCCCCTTGAATGCTGGAATTAAAGGCGTGCACCACTGTGCCTGGTCCATGCTAGATTTTTTAATATTATTTATTTATTTATTTAGGTTTTGCAAGACAGGATTTCTCTATACTTTTGGAACCTGTCCTGGAACTAGCTCTTGTAGACCAGGCTAGCCTCGAACTTTCAGAGATCCGCCTGCCTCTGCCTCCCGAGTACTGGGATAAAGGCATGTGCCACCACCATCACCTGACTCCATGTTAGATATTTTTGAACACTTGCCAGAACTAGGGTTCATGAACCTCAAAATGCTTTAAGATCCCACAACAAGTAATTTGAGCCTAGACTGTGAAGTTCCAGAGATAGATTACTGTAGATTATTCTAGAAGTGTGGGACCTCTAGAGGCAGGTTTCCTCTTGTCTTGCTTGGTATCATATTCCCCAGTCTAGGAGAGAGCTTGCCCCATAACACATATGGAGCCAGGGAACACATGAGTGACCAGTATCAGGGTGCAGGACTTCGTCTGCACCTGTGGGTCCGGACTCTGAGCTCGGAGTAGATGTTCCTGAAGTCAGAGTGGGTGGGGGCAAGTCCCCAGCTGTCCTTCTGCTCCTCACCTGTCCAGGGCCCACATAGCTGCAGAGAGCATCCACATGACAGCCACCTCGAGTGTCCAGCCCACATTCGTCAATGGCCACACACATGCGGCCATCCCCACTCCAGCCTTTGAGGCAAACGCAGCGGTGGGTGCCCAGGTCTCCAGGGATACATTCAGCCTGTGTGGGTTATGAATAAGTGGCTCCCGGTACAGGGCCACGGGTGGAGGCCTAGGAGCCCCATCCTGCATCTGGGTCAGAACACTAGGGAAAGGGTAAAGAGAGAAACTGACATTCTCCGAGCAGCCACCACGGTCTGGATGTGAGCAGGGATTGCTGCGTGTGCAGGAGAAGCCATCACCTTCAAAACCATCGAGGCAGATACACCTGGGATAGAGAGGAGAGGCCCACTTGAGCTTGGGGAAGAGGCTGGAGAATTATGGCAGGACACAGAGGAAGGCAGAGTCCTCACCTGGCCTTGCCCTCCTGACTGACGCAGCGAGCATGCTGGTGGCAGAGCTGAGCCAGCCCTCCGGGACTGCAGTGTCCCATGGACTCATTGCAGAAGCGGCCTTGGAAGCCAGGGGCACATGTGCCGGTCTGGCACACTCCTCCGCTGCCAGGACGGTTGTCACACAGACCGTGAACACAACCACAGTCTATGGGGAAGAAGTGGGAACAGAGAAATTGGACAGGAAGTAGGACTTGATGCCAGCCAAGATTGGTTTTGCAAAGGGACTAGGGAATGGAGTGGCTAAGAGACTTGACTTTGTTATTTGACCCTCTATTAGGGTACCTAAATCATAGCTCATTCAAACTCGAAGAGCAGATAAGCAAACTATGAAGGAGGCCATTTTTTTGTTTTTGTTTTTTCTTTTTTAAATATTATTTATTTATTATGTATACATTATTCTGTCTGTTTGTATGCCTAAAGGCCAGAAGAGGGCACGAGACCTCATTACAGATGGTTATGAGCCACCATTTGGTTGCTGGGAATTGAACTCAGGACCTTTGGAAGAGCAGGCAATGCTCTTAACCACTGAGCCATCTCTCCAGTCGCCATTTTTGTTTTTTCTTTTTTTGGGGGGGGATTTTTCAAGACAGGCTTTCTCTGTAGCTTTGGAGCCTGTCCTGGAACTATCTCTTGTAGACCAGGCTGGCCTCAAACTTACAGAGATCTGCCTGCCTCTGCCTTCCGACTGCTGGGATTAAAGACGTGCGCCACCACCACCTGGCATCTGTTTTTATTTTTAACAAGACAGGGTTTCTCTGTGTAGCTCTCTGGCTGTCCTAGAACTCACTCTGTAGACCAGGCTGGCCTTGAACTCAGAGATCCATCTGCCTCTGCCTCCAGAGTGCTGGAATTGAAAGTAGGTGCCACCATAGCCTAGCTTTGAATTTTTAGTCACATCATTCTAGCTACTCTGTCTCCAATCCCACTATGAGATAGTCTTGTTTAAAACGTGCTTGCTTTAAGGCATGGTTTTCTTTTGGTGAAAAAGGCAGTATCTATGACTGTTCTCCAACTGGTACTACTCCCTGGGCCAGCATTCCGCTTAGGGCCCTCTTCCTCCTTGGGAGCCCTTAGTCACCTTCTCTCCATTAAGAGCTTCTTTCTCTGGGAGGTGGCCTGGGCCCGGTCACTCACCCTCCTGGCAGTGCTCGCCGTGCTTGTTTGGGTTGGAGCAGACATGGCAGGCAATACCCTTGTAGTCTGGAAAGCAGAGGCAGGCTCCATTGCCCTGGACGCCATCGCTGCACTGGAAGATGGCAGGCACAAAAGGGGTCAGTCAAGGACATGGTCACCACAGCCCCCCCCCCCCGACCCTCTGAACCTCCCTTCCTGGTGGGCTCTGAACCCCTGTTCCCTGAGAACTCACCCTGTAAGAGACCTCCAAAATCACTTAAGCTGCCAAGCTGGCAGATAGTTACTGAAGGCACACAACCTTTTGTTTTGTTTGGTTTGGTTTGGTTTTTCGAGACAGGGTTTCTCTGTGGTTTTGGAGCCTGTCCTGGAACTAGCTCTCGTCGACCAGACTGGACTCGAACTCACAGAAATCTGCTTGCCTCTGCCTCCCAAGTGCTGGGATTAAAGGCGTGCGCCACCACTGCCCAGCAGCCCCGGAGGTTTTATGTGTAACTCAGACAGTAACTCCTGAGTGAGTTCTTCTGTGCAGGCACTAAACACTCAGTGCAGCACTGACATCTCCAAGTGTCAAAAGCAGAATACTAAAGAATACTGGCATTTGGGCATGGTGGCACACACCTTTAATTCCAGCACTCGGGAGGCAAAAGCAGGTTCTGTGTGTTCCAGGCCAGCCTGTTATATAGAAAGAGTTCCAGGACTGCCAGGGCTATATAGAGATCGTATCTCAGAAAATAATTTTGTGTGTGTGTGCACCTGAGTACAGAAACCGGTGGAGGCCAGAAGCACTGGATTATCAGGTGGTCGTGAGCCACCTAACATGGGTGTTGATAACCAAATCAGGTCCTCTGCAAGGGTAGCATGTGCTCTCCCCACTGAGCCATCTCTCTAGACCCGAGAGCAATAATTTCTAGTAAAACAGTTTGGTCCAATATCAACTACTTAAAGTGGGGAAGGCGAGACAAGAGAGAGTCAGGCCTGGTTCTGACACTGCCAGCCAGGGAAGGTATCAGCCTCATGACACCTACCAGGGTGGGGACTCACATTGCCTTTTCCATAGCAGGGGTTGGAGAAGCCCCCAGGACATTGTGTGCAGTCAGGCCCAAAGAATCCTTTGCAGCAGCCACGTTTCTGCAAGAGACAGAGCGTGTGTGAGCATCCAGGCCATACCAGATCCCACACAGGATGCTTCTGCTTGCTGGCCTCATCTCGAGAGCACAGGGATGGGTAGGGATCCCCCAGTAGCACCTCTTTAACCATTAGGATGTGGGGCGTAGTTCAGCGGCAAAGCACTTGCCTAGTATGTGAGGCTTTGGGTTCTAGTCCTACCACAGACACAAAGACGAACAAACAAGCAAACAAAAAACCCAACAAAAACCCTTCCAAACTAAACAAAAAGAATGCCTGGGAAGGGAAGCCCCGCCCTCAACCCAACTTGGGAATCCCCCAAACAAAGAGGAAGTGGCCAGGGTCTCCAGAGAGTGCAGGCCTGCCCAGACTCACTGTGATGGTCTGGTTGCAGTAGTGGGCACAGCCCTTCTTCAGCATGTTGAGTCCAGTTGGGTCATGGGTATAAACACACTCCTTGGGGAAGATATCCTAGAACACGCCATACGAGGTCAGTCAGCAGAGTAGGTGGGTTTAGGACATACTGAGCCTCCAGGTATGTTCTAGCCTCCTTGCCTCTACTCCCCACTGCAACTGACGTACGATTGGGCTACTGGCAAAAAGGGATCCCCGAGGGCAAGGCTAGGGGTGCTCACCATTTTCACACTGTTTGGGGGGCATACACTGGCATTCAAGGCTTGGCAGTCCACACAAGTACCCTGAGAAGAGCAGCGCAGGGCAGAGAGAAAGGATCAGAGACATCAAGCAAAGATCCGAAGAAGGAGAAAGAACCAACTGTAGAGAGGTCAGGAAAGGTGTTGGGAGGAAGCCTGTAGAGGCAGGTGGGCCACCAGGCTCCCCTCATGCAGGGTAGGCTTATCACCACAGCAGCTGATGGAATGAGTTGGACGCTTGTCGCTCTGATCTCTTCACCTATGTCCAACAGCCCTTGTGCCACAAGGCCCTCCCTCAGCAAGAGCTGAACTGTCACTGTACCATGCATTCAGAACTGTGAGCCAAAATAAGCCAGTCTCAAATATCCCATGATGGCAACCCAACCAGTGTTCTCTCCTGTCCGTGTGCTAGGGGCAGAGATCTGGGTACAGGGTGAAGTCTGGGTTCAGGGCAGGGCTCACTGGCACAATCTGGTGCTGCTCTTCATCACAGTGCTGGGGTAGGATAGGCAGGATGGTGGGGGGCAGCAGGATGCCTTCCAGCATGTGGATCACACCGTTGGCAGCCAGCACATCCACTCTCCGCACAGGGATGCCCTCAGGTCCCAGCAGGATGCGCCCCTGCAACACAGACCCCATATGCCATCCCCAGCCGGCCTTTGCTGCTCTGTTTTTGTCTGCTGTGGCTTTACTTCATACTTGTGGGACCTATGTCTATTCTCCTAGCCCAGCTGGGACCTTGTCAAGTGTCCTGCCCACTACGGTATTTGGAGCATGCTGTCAGGCATGAACAAGGCCTGCAGCCTTCTGATCCATGTGTGCACCTGTTCACAGATCTCACCTCCTCAGAGATATTCACAGTCAGGACCTGGTTGGCCATGGTGAGGACACGTCCCTTAGAGATGAGCTTCTCCACCGTCAGCTGGGGCAGGAAGACAGTGAGTGGTTTCAGATTGGATACTGGCCACACCTTGTACAGGTGATGCACAGTGACTCTGAGTCCCCAGAAATGGAGAAGGGAGGATGAGGACACTGAACCCCCAGAAAGATCAAAATCTGCAGTAGCCCCTGAAACGGGGGACACTGTGAAGTACCTGGCCATGGTTGTAGATGTGGTACCGTACCAGCTCCTGAAGTTTGGAAAGGCCCTGGGGGGGGGGGGATCGATTGCTTGAGGTTGACGGGGGTGGGGTGGGAGTCTAGCAACCACAGCCCATAGCCTGTCTCCCCTTAGAGCTTACTGATGTAAAAAGGTAGATCAGTCGACCATCTCGCAGGCTGTCTACAGCATCATTGCTTGGGGCGAAAACTGTGAAGGGCCCGGGCCCATCCAAGATGGATGGAAGTCCACAGTTCTATGACAGCAGAATGAAAAGTTTGGCTAGATCCTGGCCTCAGAGCTCCTGGCTCCTGCCACTGTCAGACAGGAGGGATCTCCCACTGCTTAAGGGAGACATGAGCGATGCATTGGTCCATAAAGCCCCGGGATTGTGAGGGGACAGGCTCTAGGAAGATGAGTGCACAGACTCTGGGGCAGTGAGCTGTTCTGGTCTGGAAGCCCAGCTAGGGAGAGCTGCTTTCCCCAAGCTCACCTCCAGGATCGTTTCAAACCGCGTGAAAGCCTCTGTGGAAGCCAGGATCTCGCTGACAGTTTTCTGCAGGTATAAGGGCCATAGGGCAGGATGAGGCTACTTCAGCCTCGGGAGGAGGAGGAGCCATGCTTCCACAAGCCAGAGCAGCCTCATGCCTGGATTTAAACACCATCCCCTATGGCACAGGGTGGAGAAGAGCTTGCTGGCTCACCTTGGGGTCCCCTGGGAGTGGAGGGGGAAGCTGCCTCCGTAGGGCAGTGACCGTGTGGAAAACCCCGTTGGCTGCTACATAGTTGGCCTTTTGGATGGTGAACGTCTGTTGAGGCTGGTCTTCATACTTATAGGTGTATCTCTGATGAGACAGACACAGGACCATGTCCCCTATGCCAGCCCTCTGTCCTTCAGCTCCTTCCCACCCCCGCACATTTGTCCCAGCTCTGTCATCCACCTGCCACTCCCCTGGAGGTCCCTGTCATACCAGATGGTTGAAGTTGATGGTGATCTCCTGGCCAGCAAGTGTCCACCACTTGCGGGTATTCGAGGGCCCTACATCCTCCAGGATGTGCTCCCCTGCAATAATGTGCTGTTTGCAGAGCTGCTGGGCGAGGGTCACCTGCAGGTACACAGGGATGGAGTGTTGGGTTAACCCAGACAGGCCAGCCCTCTGCAACTCCCCCTGCTTGAGTCACAGAGAGGAGAGGCCTTGCAGGTCTCTGTTTTCAGAGCATCATGTACAGGGAGACCTTGGCTTGCTCTCAGGGGAAAAAGAGCTCACATTCATGGTCCTGGAGGGGACAGAAGAGACGAAGAAGGACGGCACCAGTACAGTGAATGGCCCCGATGTGGTAAGGATCTCCTGGCAGCCCTGCTCTGTAAGGGGGAGAAAGGTCATGTCAGAATAAACACGGGGAGCTCCAGAGGGGTGGGTCTAGATGCCTAGCATGGGAAGATACACTAGCGCTGGGACCAGTTCCCACCGCTATCCTGGCCTCACCCAGTTCTGGGGCAAAGAAACAAGAGTGTGCAGAGGCTGGCCCTCCCTCCCAGCTCTGTGGGACTAAGGGGTATTGTCACAAGTAGGCTGAGGGACACATACCCAGCATGGCAATGGCCAGTTTCAAACGCGCAAGCATCAGGCCTATCTGATTGGCCCTCTGAACCTCATGGAGCAGGTGTCCGTAGCAGGCACGACCATCACCCACCTCACCATCCTTGCACACACAGCTGGAGACCCAGAGAGACTGGTCAGAGACATGACGGGCCATCCCCCTGGTCCTCCCCAGCCCTCCTTGCTGGGCCTCGAATGGAAGAATACAGCTGAGTACATTGCCCACTCCACCCTCCCTGCTCCATGCCCATTCCCACTTGACCCCTGTGCCCACCTGGTGGTCTTTCTATCAGCGGTCACCTGACAGGTGGCTGATTTGTCACAGGAATGTGGTTTGCAAAAGGCATAGCATCCCGCAGAAGCATCGTTGTTAAGACTCATCAAACCTGGCTGGCATATGCAGACAGCCTGGGCAAATGGCAGGGCCAGAAAGGGGTGGAGCATCCGCCAGTCAGAATTCAGGGAAACTGCTTGCATATGTCTCCCTCACACAGCCCTGCCACCCATCCTCAAAGACTAGGGTTGGCATTCTCCCCGCATCTTATAAGTGGGGCATCTGGGGTGACTTGCTCCGAGTGGAAAAGCAGGTGTCCTAGCTCACCTTGCCTGGATCCTTGTATAGACAGAGGGTAGAGTTGCTGGGGCAACCACCAAAGTTGGTGATGCATGGGTCCAGGGGCAGACACACTTTGCCATCACCGTGGTAATTCTCTGGGCAGCGACACTGAGCCTGCCCCTTGGGATTCACTGAACATCGGGCCAGTGGGGAGCAAGGGGACAGCTTACAAGGGTCACGAGCTGCCAGGGCAGAGAAAGCCTGAGTGAGTTGAATTCCAGGAGCCTTCTCATCATGGTTTCCATCAGAGGAGCCCCAGGCCTTCTGCCTCTTAGGGACAGGTTTTGTTTTGTTTGTTTGGTTTGGTTTGGTTTGGTTTTTTGTGCGTGAGTGGACAGACTGCACGTTCTGGTACAAAAGGTTCCCTTCCCAGTGCCTCCCACCCACTCAGCTCTCCAAGTCCCCCGCCTCCAGATCACAGGCTTACCAAGACAAACGCCGCCCTGCTGAGTGTATCCGGGCAGGCACTTACAGGTGGGTGCTTCTGCAGAGCACTGGGAATTCTGGGGGCATCTCAGGCCCTGGCAGACTGGAACCTCTGAGAGGAGAAGTCACCGTGGAGGCTCAACCTCAGGTTGGGGAGGAAGGGCTCACAAAGCGCCATGCTCCGCTTGCTGTGTGACTCCAGGCAGCTGCCCCACCTCCCTGAACTTCCAGACACTGGAAGCTGAGATGACACACTCCCAGACCTCTAACAGGCTGCAGGCCGAGGTCCTGCTTCTACTCAGACACTACCTGGCACCCAGTTGTCCTCCCCTGCTTTGGCCACAAAAAACCTACTGTCCCTCCCAGACAGCACTGCTCACCTTGGTCACAGCGGGTGCCCGTATATCCAGCAAAGCACAGGCATTTCCCATTCCCCCGTGGCCCATTGTTGCACAAGCCATGTACACAGCTGCAAACTGAGAGAGACACAAGAGCAAGTGGAACTCCAGCCTCGCCCAGGTACAGACGAGAACATCACTTCCTCTCCAACTGTGTATTTGGAATGTAGGAATGATCTTGGGAATGCTGAGCCGTGGTACAGGATCGCAGGGAAAGGGGGAAGCCCAGAGCCAGGTGAAAGGGGGGGACATCATGGAGGGCTTCCTGGAAGAGGCTTCTGAGATGACAAAGAGCCTCAGGGCACAAGGAAGCAAAGCAAGCATTCAAGGGGGGAAAGGCAAGACTGAGGGGTTCAGAGGGGTTAAAGGCAGGCCAGGCAGGATTGGCCTTACCAGGAGGCCCTGCAAGTTTACCTGATTGGCAGTCAGGCCCAAATCTGCCTGGGTCTCGGCACTCCTGGCAGGCTGAGCCGCTGAAGTTTTCCTGTGAATGCACAAAGTCAGTAGGGTTTCCCCAACATGCCCACCTTATCCCTGTTCAACCCTTACCTGACACACACAGGTCCCATTTCCAGCTATGCCATCCAGGCAGGTCCCATGGCCATTACACGGGGTCTCGGCACCTCCAGGGCACTCTGTGGGCCCCAAGAACTCAGTTTTTCTCTGAGAATATTCCCCTTACCTCTTCTTCCGGTCCCACCCCCTGGACAGCTAGCGCTAGGGATCTAGGGTGGCTTTCAATGAGCGGTCACCAGGCTGAGGGCAGTATAGGTTCTTCTCAGATGAGAAGGTGGGGCTGGGGCAGAGAGGGAGCAAATCGGGCGGGCTGTCTCTTCCATACCATAGCACTGGGAACCCCAATAGCCGGGGCAGCAGGCCTTCTGCACCACGTCCTTCCAGCACTCCTGGCTACAGCCACTTAAGGAGACCAGAGAGCCCCCCAGCTGCACCTCATAGCTAGGAGAAAGAGGAGGCCGGTGGTGAGGTGGTGCATACTTCCACCGTCCTCACACTGAGCTTCAGGGATCATATCCACACACCTCTGGCCTCTCCATCTGGCCCATGGCCGAGCCTAGAGCTTGGCATATAGTAGGTGCCCGGGAAGCCCCCGGGACACAGGTGTGCGGGTTAATGATACTTTGTCTGCCCCGACCTGGAGGTCAGTGAGGTTCCTCTGGGACCCCTGCCACCCTTCTGAACCTGGGAAGGAAGCGGTGTGCACATACCGACAGTCCAGGAGTATCTTCTCTGGGAAGTTCCGAAACCAGCCTAAGGGACACAGCCGCTTCCTGACAGCTGCGCACGCGGTGCAGGGCGAGTGTGTGACAAACTTGGTCTTCACGTCACAGCGTTTAGACCGCACCTGGGCCGTAGGCAGAACGCACAGTGAGGAAGGGGCCCAGACCCTGGTCTAGCCCTGAGCCCATACTGGCTACAGCAAGACCACAATTTCCCCTCTGTTCGGTGGGAACGAGGCCGGGGAAGGTCTTGAGAAACCTCCCTATGAGGAGTTGCTAATGCCACATCCTGTCTCCATGTCCATGGCTGAAAGTCTTCAGGACTTTATCTTCTGACAGGAGAATCATTTCCCTCTAAGGTGAGGAGATGAAGGTGAGGTAGCCCTTTGCCAACCTGGTACAGGGACAGGATGTGAAGCAGGGCCTGGTATACATTCATTGCACAGAATTCCTTCTTGCCTCTTTAGTCCAGATAGACACGCAATAAGCCTCACACTGTTTGCAAGAAAACAGTGACTTCAGCTGTGTGTCATGGTGCACGCCTTTAGCCCCAGCACTCAGGAGGTAAAGGCACGTGGATCTCTTTGAGTTGGAGACCAGTTTGGTCTGCAGAGGGAGTTCCAGGACAGTCAAGCCCACACCGCCTGGGGGTGGGGAGAATACAGTGACTTCATCTTCAGTCTGTCACACTAGGACAAGGCTCAAGCTTCCAGCCAAGCACCAGCCATGCCCTAAGCAGAGGGTCTGGCCTGATATGTTTATGCTGGGCAGCCCTGACGCCAGTCATGGCCCAAGGCCTCACCTGCAGATAGGGACCCAGAGTCCAGGCAATGACAGGCAGCGGGGGCAGCTGGCAGAACAGGACCCAGGATGTTCAATTTTATTTCTGTTAATAAAATACCCTGATAAAATACTTAGAGGAGTATTTCAGATCAGAATTTCAGGTTATAGTCCATCATTGCAGAGAAGTCGAGGCAACAGGAACTTAAAACATACCACAGCCACAGTCTTTTTTTTTGAGACAGGGTTTTTGTGTGTAACACCCTAGCTGTCCTGGAACTAGTTTGAGGCTGGCCTTGAACTCACAGATCCACCTGCTTCTGCCTCCCCAGTGCTGGGATTAAAGGTGTGCGCCACCACCGCCGGGTTCACATCCACAATCTTATAAGCATAGGAGAGCCATAGCCAATGTCTTAGTGCTCAGAAACCCTGTGTAGGAAATGGTGCCACCCACGGTGGCTGGGCCTTCACATGTCAACTGACATAATCCACATCATCTTCCACAGACACACTCAGGCGAACCTGATCTAGGCATCCACAGACACACTCAGGCGAACCTGATCTAGGCATCCACAGACACACTCAGGCGAACCTGATCTAGGCATCCACAGACACACACAGGCCAGCCTGACCTAGGCATCCACAGACACACACAGGCCAGCCTGACCTAGGCATCCACAGACACACACAGGCGAACCTGATCTAGGCATCCACAGACACACACAGGCCAGCCTGACCTAGGCATCCACAGACACACACAGGCGAACCTTATCTAGGAATCCACAGACACACTCAGGCGAACCTGATCTAGGAATCCACAGACATACACAGGCGAACCTGATCTAGGCATCCACAGACACACACAGGCCAGCCTGACCTAGGCATCCACAGACACACACAGGCGAACCTGATCTAGGCATCCACAGACACACACAGGCCAGCCTGACCTAGGCATCCACAGACACACACAGGCGAACCTTATCTAGGCATCCACAGACACACTCAGGCGAACCTGATCTAGGAATCCACAGACATACACAGGCGAACCTGACCTAGGCATCCACAGACACACACAGGCCAGCCTGACCTAGGCATCCACAGACACACACAGGCGAACCTGATCTAGGCATCCACAGACACACACAGGCGAACCTTATCTAGGAATCCACAGACACACTCAGGCGAACCTGATCTAGGAATCCACAGACATACACAGGCGAACCTGATCTAGGCATCCACAGACACACTCAGGCGAACCTGATCTAGGAATCCACAGACACACACAGGCGAACCTGACCTAGGCATCCACAGACACACACAGGCCAGCCTGACCTAGGCATCCACAGACACACACAGGCCAGCCTGACCTAGGCATCCACAGACACACACAGGCCAGCCTGACCTAGGCATCCACAGACACACACAGGCCAGCCTGACCTAGGCATCCACAGACACACAGAGGCCAGCCTGACCTAGGCAATCCTTCACTGAGACCCCCTTCCCAGGTGAGTCCCAGCTGTGCCATGCTGACTACTGAAACTACTCCCACGACTTGAACCTGAAGGTTGTAAGAGAGTTGGCCAGAGTCAGTGTCTGGTTGAAGGGGCAACAGAACCAAGGCTGGGATAAAAAAGAGCAATGACCACGTGTAGCCTGCACAGCAGCAAGAGATGGGGAGCGGCTGGGGGCCAGGCTGACAACAGCCAGCTAAGCTTGGGTGAGCAGAGCGGGGTGCGGCCCCAGGACCCAGCTAATGAGTTGCTTGTTGTTTTTAAGGTTACTTGTTTATTGTTTGCTCATTTGTTTGTTTTGAGACAGGGTTTCTTTAGGTAGCCTTGACTGTCTTAGACCTCGCTCTGAAGACCAGGCGGGGCTTTGAACTCAGAGATCCACCTGCCTCTGTCTCCTGACTGCTAGGATTAAATACATATACCATTACAGATGGTTGTTGTGCAGGCAGAACATTGTATACATAATACATAAATAGATCTTTAAAAAAATAAATAGATACATACATATACCACCACCACCACCCGGTAAATTTATTTCTTAAAGCTTTCATATATGTTTATATTGCATGTCTCATGTAGCCCCTGGCTGGCTTTGACTTTCAGCCCCTCCTACCTCCATGTCCACCTGTTGTAAGTGTGAGTTACCACACTTGGCTTCAGTGAGTGCTTTAAAGCGACACTGTGTAGAGACCTGAGTCCGGGCAGAGGTGGGGCGGGGCGGGGTGGGTGAGGGCATCACTTGAGGGTGTCATGCTGGTGGGGGTGGAAGGTGTGAAGAGGCCCTTCCTGCCTCCATCCTGTTGTCCCAGGCAGAGACAGCAGTCTTCCACTGACCTCCACTGAGGACACTTTTAGGGCCAAAGAGAAGCTACAGGCTGTACTCTGGAGAGCAGACTGAGCTCCTAGCTGTGAGTGACAGGCTCGGAGAAGGAACGGCTTGGAGAAGCCACATGTTTTCTTCTTGAAACTGCTGACCACACAGTACTGCAAAGGGGGTGTACCCAGAATCCCTCTCCTAAAATGAGCTACACATGAGTGACTTCCCAAAACCAGAGAAAAGGAAAAACACTTTCTTTGGGGGAGTACAAAGTCCCAGGCGCCCATCCCTGCTGCTGTGATTTCTGCTCAGCTCTGCGGTCTAGCAAGAGGGAAGTTACTCAGCACAACCTCAGAACTGGCTGTTTGGGTCCTGATGTTAGGTTTGGATTCGTCATCACAAAGTCCATCTTTGCAGAACCAGGGCACAGCTGGGAAACTGAACGACTTAGGCTCGGGTTCAGGGCCTGTGCTGGCTGACAGCGGGACCCTCCAAACCACTTGCTGAGGCAGAGGCAGGCAGAGGTTGCAGTGAGCCTGGCACTCGGATCGGGACACTAGGATGCTCTGCCGGGCTTGAGTAAAGCTGTCACTCAGAGTGAGGGAGGGCGGAGGGGGGTGGGGGAGCTGGAGCTTTGTGAGCATGTGTGAAGTGGTGATGTGTGGATAAGCCAACTGCCAAATCAGCACCTCTCCCGGGACCACACCCTAGACAGGCATTCAAATCGGCCTTGATCCAGCTGAGAGGGATGGGGTTGGACTTCAGCTTTCTGTGGGGCACCTTGGGACCTGCTAGAGCACTCACTTCAGGGTTGAGTTTATAGTATCTGTCTCCTGCGCAGGTGCTGCTGGGGAAGCCGAAGAGACATGAGCTATTAAGCCCAATAGTAAGGCGAAAGAAACTCTCCAAGCTGGGACCAAGGTCCTGAAGAGGCTCTAGGTTGACAGCCTAGAACCTAAACCCCATAAGGCAGGAAGGGCTCCTGAGCTGCCCCCAGCCCTGCTCCTCTGGATTACAGGAGACTGGACAGAGCTGGGGGCTTGGCAATGTCCCTGCTTTTGTACCTTGACAGTGGACCCCAGGTTTATGCTGATACCAAGTAGTCCCTGGGCTTCTAGATGGACATATGCTAAGATCCTCCCCTCAGGGAGCTCTGGGCGCCTCCATTGCCCAAGCCTGCTGTGCCAAGCCCTCTTGCCATCATCTTCGTTGGCTGTGTGACCCAGGGGTGCCTTTCCCCATCCTGGCTGCAGCGTGTGTCTCACGTCTTATAGGGTGAGTGACTGTGAGAGAAAGAAAGGACATTTCTACTACAGGGGCCTCAGGACCTCTTCTCTGGTCCAGGCTGGCTGGGCCCCAGTCCCAGAATTACAGACTCAGGACTGTCTAGAACTATACCAAGTCTGACAAAACAAACAAACAATCAACAAGCCCTCCAAGTTGAGGTCTCTCACTAACCTCACTGCCCAGAACACAGGTGACAAGGTGATTTCCAGCCAGACACACCCCAGGAGCTGGTGGTTTTTCCACCATCATGCTTCCCTGGTGTCCCACCTGCCCCTCCCAGCCCTGGCCTGGCCCTGAAATCATTTCTCCCCTCATGGAACCACAGGGAGTGTAAAGACAAAGAGCCCCACAGCTACCTGGTGGCAGATCCCCTCTCTACCACAGGAAATTTTGAAACTGCTCAAGAAACAGATGAACTTGGTCTCACAAGGGAATCTCCCTTGCCCAGCTACAGATCCAAAGCTCAGTCTCTGCAGTCAGGGTGTGGAGCTCTTCCCAAAGCCCAAGCAGCAGCCTCCCTACAATGGGATGGGGAGACTTAGGAACAGGAACAGCAGCCTGGCACTCTTGGCCACAGGGACCTCTTATCCACACGGTGCACCCACATGGGGACTTGCAGGCCTGAGCAGGAATCACAGGCTGTGGTCTAGACTGCGGTTGTAGTGGGGCAGCTTGTAGCCATCCTTCACTAGCCTTGGATGCCCAACAAAAGAACAGAACAGGCTGGCCAGAGGTTGTAAAGACTGAAGGGGCCATGCCCAGGGCTGGCCAGGGGCAGTTCTGAGACCTAAGACAGGCTCAGAGCTGGTCACAGGCACATGTGTGGCCAGGTTCTGAATGAGTCTCTCCAGTTAGAGTTCCCAGAAGCTGGGTAGTGATCACATCTAAAAAGCCCCAGGTAAGGACCACATAGACAATGGCCTCAGTCTGGGTGGGGAGGCCAGGAGGATGGGGCTTGCTCTGTTCCCGCTCACTCACAGGCTGGGGAAACCAGGATGGCTGCCCATACATAGTACACAGTTTGCCAAACATAGAGGAGATCAAGCTGCTGTAGCCTTGAACTTCAGGTAGAACAGCCACAGACTTCTGCCTGGGGAGGTGGGACAACAGCCTGGCAACCTGGGCCCTCATGGACGTCAGACAGGTACCAGCTGCTTTGACAGCGCCCACCCCATACACGCACCAGCTATGCACGCTCCCTCCCTGGTCCCTGAGACTGATTCCACTCACCTTCTGCCCTCCGATGAAGTTGGAGCCTGCCAGGCAGAAGATCAAAAAGCAGAACAAAAGGAGAATCCTGGATTCTGCCATGGTAGGCAGATCCGCTGTCTGAGAGAAAAACTGTGTGGAGACAGAGGTTGCAGTGGCAGGCCGTGTGTGAGCTCCAAGAGGCAGGCATGAGGAAGGAGGCAGGACAGGGTGGGTGAGCAGTCGCTTTAAAAGCTATCCGTCAGCTCACCCCCACAGGAACCCACCAGGATTTCCTCCTGCGTATCAGCAGCCTGCAGGCGGAAGGGAAGACGCTGGCCACTGACCCCCACGTGGACGACCTGGGCCCAGTTCAGGCCTTCCTGGCCCAGGATCCTGACATCACAGTCTGGAGGTCCAAAGCAACCATCAGCCACCTGCCTGGGGCCTAGGGGAGATTCTGAAGCAAATTCAAACACCGATAAACAATTTTCCTGCTTCTGTCAAGTCGGGTTTTCATTCAGAGCCTTTGGGGTTCTGGTGGCTGGCTTGGCTAGGAGGTAGTGGGGTGGCCCCTGTTCTGGGCTGGCTGCCCCTGGACCAGCTGCCTCACTCTTTCCCCCAACATCAGTAGAGGGAAGTGTTAGGGCCAGGCTAGCCCCCCACATTGTTCTTCCCTCACCAGCCTGCACCACTGTTGGCCCTCATGGCCCCCCATCAGCCCGGCTCTACAGGTCCCCCTCCCCCGACTGCCTGCCCTCCCCCCACTGCCTACCACACATCAATCCTTTCTATGCCTGTGGTGGGTTTCTGTGATGTCTCCAGCTCTGCTCAGATGTCAGAGGTGACTGACAGCCACAGCTCCACAGCCTAAGGAGTTTCTTTAATCTTTTAGGGATATCCACTTAGGCAAACCCATAATTCATAGGTTCAAAGTAGAAAAGAATTTCAGGAGTGGCCAGTATGAACTAGAAGTGAGGTTTTACTAAAAGTAGTGTTAAAGAATTAAAGCACATTCAAGAACACGTGTGCAGGCTTCTCAGTCACCACTTATTAAAATACTTAAGTTTTGGGGGGTTTGCTTTTGTTTTGTTTTGTTTTCAGAGACATGGTTTCTCTGCGTAGCGCTGGCTGTCTTGGAATTTGCTCTGAGGACCAGGTTGGTCTCAAACTCAGATATTCACTTGCCTCTGCCTCCTGAGTGGCGGGATTAAAGGAGTGCACCACCAACACTTGGCTTTAATGTGTATGGGGCTTTGACTGGACTTTGTGTTTCCCACATTCCTGTAAAATTTTCCTATTCTGCCTCTTGGCCAGCTGGGGCTTTTCTCTTAAAGTAAGCTCCAGGGAGCCGGGCGCTGGTGGCGCAGGCCTTTAATCCCAGCACTCAGAGGCAGAGGCAGGCAGAGCTTTGCGAGTTCGAGGTCAGCCTGGGCTACAGAATGAGTTCCAGGACAGGTTCCAAAGCTACAGAGAGAATCCCTGTCTCGAAAAATAAAACAAAAAACAAAAAGTAAGCTCCAGGGTACCTGCTGCTTCACTTCCAGGCAAGTGTGGGGTCTGGTGTTGAAGCCATTGTTTGGACTAAAATCTCTTTTTTTTTTTTTTTTTTTGTTTTTCGAGACAGGGTTTCTCTGTGGTTTTTGGAGCCTGTCCTGGAACTAGCTCTTGTAGACCAGGCTGGTCTCGAACTCACAGAGATCCGCCTGCCTCTGCCTCCCAAGTGCTGGGATTAAAGGCGTGCGCCACCACCGCCCAGCTGGACTAAAATCTCTTGCTGTGCCCCAAAGACCAGGCACTTGGATCTCAATTGCAGCATGTGTAAGGGACCTTAGCTGCCACCCAAGCCTAATTTAAAAGTTCTCTGTGCCTTTCTGTCTCCTCTAAGTCTTGTGTGGTTTGGGTCTGTCCAGCTACTGTTCTTCAGTGCTGCCTGATTAAAGAATTAGGTTTCCTTTGCTCTGATAAATTCTGCTATATTTCACTAGTTTACGGCTGTGTGTGTTGGGCTGCAGGTGCTTTGCTGCCTATACCCCAGCCCCGGTCTTCCATTATATGAGGGTTCAGAGCACTTCCGTGACCCGACCCCAGGCTTCCAGGCAACCCAGGGCTTGGTTTCATCCCCCTCGGCACTGGCCATCAGCGGCCACTGTCCTATTTACTAGTTCATTTTTTGTAGCCTCTGGAGTGTCAGCTGAGAAAGAGCAGGGGTACCATCTTGGTCAGTACAGATGTGTAAAAGAGATACAGAATAAAATGATGATAGTTGGTTTACTATTCCTGTTATTGTTAAGAGGATGTAGGCTCAGAACCCCGGGTAGTTGAGCTGAGTTTATGCTTCAGACCCAGGCTCCTCCAGGAGGAGAGTGGGAGGCACGGCTACTTGTTACTGCTCTCTCTTACTTGCTGTTTTTTCTGTTTCTCCCCGGCCCCTTCCTCTTCCTCCCCTCTCTGAAACAAACTTCCTTAGAATTTACAGCATAGCTCAAACTGGTCTCAGACGCTTGACCTTCCTGGGATTATAGGCCTGAGTCACCAAGCCTAGCTTTTTATTTTTTAAAAACAAGGGTCTTGCTGTCTACTCCAGGCTGGCTGGACTCTCATAATCCTGCCTCAGCCTCCTGCTTACATCAGGGTTATAGGTGTGTGTGTGGTTTGAATAAAAATGCCCCCCATAGCCCCACAAGGACTGGCACTATTAGGTGTGTGGCCTTGTTGGAGCAAGTGTGTCACTGGCTTTGAGGTCTCAGACGCTCAAACCAGGCCGGTGCCTCACAGTTCTCCCTGATTCTGTGACAGATGTGACTCTCAGTTATTGCTAGCATACCTGCCTGCAAGCTGCTGTGCTTCCCGCCATGATGGTAGCTGTAAGCCAGCCCCAATCTAATGCTTTCCATTAGGAGCTGCTGTGGTCGTAGTGTCTCTTCGCAGCAAAAGAACCCTAGGACAGCTGCACCATCACCCCCTTCCACTTGAGTGGATGCTGTGTGGTCCTGGCGCCCACGGCCACATACTTCCCTGCTCTTCCTTGGCGGGTCCCATCCTGCCAGTGTGTAGGGCTAGGCTGGCCTTGGAGGTCTGGCTGGTGGGCATTAAGGGGGAGAAGCCTTTTCCGGGAACTCTTTTGACTTCCTTCTCTTTCCTCTACACTCACACCCTTTCTGAGGGCAGCAGGGTCTCCATGCTGGGATTTACTCTGATGACAACAAAAAAGAAAAAGAAAAAAAAAAAACAAAAACCCACCACTAGACTAACGAACTGGGGAGCAGCAGTGTAGAACCTGACCCAGATGAGGCGAGTGGGGAACAGGCCCTGCTCTAGTAGTGGGAAACGGTGGAGGAAGGGTGGGACTCAGGGATTGACCATCCATGAAACCTGGGGTCCTACTTTGCAGGGTCCCTCAGGTAGCTGCTGACTTTCAACCTGACTACAGGCAGAGATAAGCCGGAGGCTCTTCTTGCCACTGTCCATCGCCCAGTCCACTTCCTACTGCCACTCATAGGCCATCTTCATCAGACCCCTGGTCGTACACAAATTAGCAACCCCAGTCTCCAGGCCTTACCCTTAGACTAAAGCTTCAAGTGGGCGAGACCCAGATGCAGGACACACGGAGGAAAGGGAAGAGGTGGAGGGGGGCCCCGAAGAACTGCGTGGATTATTTGTTGCCTGGTTCCAGGTTTGACCACAGTCAAACATGGCCCTATCCAGAGGTTCCCCCCGCCGGCCCCGTCTGTAGTCTCCTCCATACTGACCATGCCCTTGGTTGAAGCCCCAGTTATTTTTGACCTAGAAGACCCAGACTGTGTCAAACTCCACTTTATTAGAATAGAGAAAATAGGCAACAGGAATTACGCTTGGTGCTGGCAGCTCTACGTCCCCTGCACCAGCTCCTCTTGGCCCCACGGCCTGGGAACTCCCCATAGGACTTCCTCTTGTCTGGACCTGAGAAAGCCTCCATTTTGGAAAAGCCCACAAAATGGGAGCTTCCATTGTGTATTCTGCTACCAGCTTCGTAATTAGCAGCAAAATGCCCACAACAACAGCAACAGCGGACTGGACTCAACACTCTAGGAAAGGAGGTGGAGGTTACCAGGTTCACAGAGCCACGCGTTCACAAGAGCATCACAATCACGGACAAACAATGCTGTGTGCCTGGCTGTACCATGTCAGAGGCAGGCACAAGGGAGGCTGACGGCACAAAGACACTCTGGTGGGGCTGGCATACTTCTTCCCAGCATTAGGAAGAATGAACACAACACACATGTTCACATTCTCTGTGGGAGCTGTATGGGGGCCACGGGCAATCAATGTATAGAATCCAGGGAGGGGAGAACACCGTAAAAGGAACACAGAAGGCCGGCTTCCTTGCCCCCACGGGCACCAGACCAGACCACACACAACAGGTGGCCAGGACTGTTGTGGCCTGCACTAGCCAGTGAGCTCCACAGGCAGCTCCCTGCCACAAAGGGCTTCCCACTGACGTGCTAGCAGTGAGATGAGCTTTTCTCGGCTCTCAGCACTGGGGACAAACACCTGCCACTGGACCTCCCGGCCCTGGCCAGCCCTGCCAGGATAACCTGGCATTTCCCCAAAGTGGTCCAGGGTGACGCTGCCCATGAGGTCGTGACCCTGCATGTCATCAAACACAAGAGTGAGGGCCTGTGGGTAGGGCTGGTAGCCCATAAGTACCCGGTCCAAATCCCGGACACGGCGGCCATCATCTAGCCGGTATCTGTCCCTCTGTGGTGGCTCTTTGGCAAATTCAGGCAACGGATAGTGGATATAGTCCTCATCTAGGAGAAAGATCTCAGCACTGGTGAGCAGGAGTGTCTTGGGGCGCAGCGGGCCCCTGTTCCGACCAGGCTTTGGTGTGACCACCTGGAAGGCCTGGATATACAGTAAGATGCTGAGGGATGGAGCCTTTCCAGGATCAGCCAACTTCTGTGCCATGATATAGGTCAGGTCCCCAACCTCTTCCTCACTAGGGTAGGTGAACTTGACACGGCTGGAGTGGATCAGCTCATAGTTCTCCATTTTTCCTACAGGAAGAGATGACATTAGGGCTGTAGCCTGAGCTAGCCTTTGGTGGGGTTAGAAGCAACAGCAGCCCCACACCAGCCCTAGACTCTAAGTGAGAGGTAGCTAA